TGCCGCGTTGAAATGTCAATTAGCGGACCAAGGATGGTTTTTTTTATGGCACACCCACGCTGCTTCTGACAAGTTTATACTCTCATTTGCACCAAAGTACACACAGCCGACAAACAGTGGCGTCTTTCGGACAGAGCTGAATGAGGGCAATTCGTACGTTTCCCATTCCAAGTCCAGCTTTCAAAAGGTCAAAGGCGATGTGAAAAAACACACTTATAATGTGTCTATTAACAATGATAAACTTGGACACAGCGTATAAAAGCAGTGGGTGTCTTTGTAATTATTGTATAGTTGATATACATTTTAATATGTATTGATAGCTCGTGAAACGGAAACGACGAACGGATAGAAAATATATTAGTGCAAAACAATGTTTGTGTTTTCTTTAACCGTGAAACATATTATTTTCTTGGTGTATAACATGGTGTGTACACCGTGTCTGAGGCACCTACTGGAGTTATACATTGGGCAAATCAATAACATTTTTGCGCTCATTTATTTTATAACAGAAACAAAACTGAACTTATACAACACTGTAAATTATGACTATTATTGTAGATCCTCCCCTTTCGTTTTCGCGAGACAATGAATATGATGGTTATCATATTAGTTCGGTTTATCCTTTCCAATTACAACACCGTAGGCCCTTGTTACCTGTAGGACATCCCGTACGATGCGCGGCCAATGTACACGGTTTCCGGACTCGAGTAAAATCGTTAAGAGCGCGCAAGAGGCGACGGGCCAGGCGCACGGCGCGTTACACCGGGCCGAGCAGGTAAAGGTTCGGGCTGTGAATCTCCTAGAAACGAGTTCCGTCTTACAACATGACCTACACACAAATATATATATAAATATATATATGCCCAACTTATAACACAACATAAACGACATTATGTGATTTGATTTTCGGACGGCAAGTTGCGTCGACAGATGTACTCTGCGGTAAAGGAAAACTCCAAAAAAGTCAATCGGCCGACCCCCCCGCCCCACAAGTGATAAAAAAAACTTTAAAAACAAGATTGATGTGTGTGTTAATGTATGCGCTGTGAGTGTGTGTGCGTTATATGGGATATAGATTGACCGACGAAGGTCATGACCGTTTTTCCTCCCATATGCAAACCCCGCCAACGATTAATCAATATATATATATATATATATGCATATACACACAGGTACTCGGTGACGGTAAAAAACTAGATGGCCGGTTTCATTTGAACATATTTTGCAGAGAAAAAATAACAGAGCTTTTTAAAAATTTACACACTACATCACAGCTGAAAAAAATGTTCAGTCGAACGAACAACCGGATATATACGGTTAGGTTAGAAGTTATAAAACTTTACTCGACACACAAAACAGGATATGGGTAAAAGTGCAAAAAGTCAAATTTTTAGTTTAAAATTATGGTCGGAATTTGTATTTTCTTGTTCAACGGTGCAAATCTAAGCTTCAGCGTAATTAGCCTATCGAGAAAATATTCAAGTGTATCTACTGTTTACTTTTCACCCATTTCAAGTAAAAAAGTCCAAAGTATGTATTATTAATTTGAATGAACTGGTATTAAGTATTCGAATTGTAATATACATACTAATTAAAATATTTTTTTTATTATTAAATATTATCAACGAGTTAATTATTGATAGTAATTTATAGCAGACAATTTACAAGGCTTAATAAATAACACTGTATAACAAAATTTGAACTTTTTTGGATCAAGAATTAAAATTACATTTTATGGGTTTTTTTTTCTCTAGCAAGTCAAATTGTTTTTAATTTGCGTCTCAACGTTATAAGCAAGTTGCAAACTAAAAATCGAAAATTTTCTTTTTTTTCTTTTGTAACAAAGAAACCTACAAATTATCTAATATTATTCCTAGACTAGTTCTAAATTTTATAAAGAAGGTAAAATAAAAAGCTATACTTGGAACAAAATATTAATATTAAACCAATATTCAAACGCATAGAACACCCTTAAAATACCAACAAATTGTATTTTTTTTTACAAAAAATAAATAACTAAAGGTGCTAAAGAAATACTGCGGTAGATTGGGTTTTAAAAATAAATGTATGGCTATTGTTCTTAAATCTGTTTGTATAGTGTAATTTATTTATTTTGTTCGTTTATGTTTCATTTGAAATTTAAATACAAAATTAAAAGTCTAAAAAAGGTTTTGAAGCTACTACTCAAGTAGGAACAAAGCAAACAATTGTTTGGCGAACAAATATTATTCTTTTATAACCGACTTCAAGGTATTATTTTTAATTTATATTATTTTTACAACGAGTAAACGCTATTTTAGTGATATTTAAGACCTCAATGCCTGAAAAAATTACGCCTACTTAAGATGGTCCAAATTCAATTCTGTAAAACGATTCAAATTCATTGACTACATAGCTAGGTTATATAGGAAACTAGTTTTCATTTAAAAAACGCAATTTCTTGTAATTAAATTAATTTAATTTAAAAACATTTTTAATATTACAAAACAATTTTATTACAAAAAAAAAAGGAAAAAATAAAAAATCCGTTTCCTACATAACTTAGCACAGTAGCCAAAGAACTGTATATCTTTAAAGATTTGAAATTGGCCCCTCCTAGGTGTAGCCGAAATGTTGTCAGGCTTTTTGGTCTAAAACGTCAAAATAATAGACCGCCTTCAATCCCCTTAACCGCATTGTCTGAACACTTGTGTGAATATTATAAAGAGACAAAAAAAACAGTTTTTTTCATACATATAGTTGACATACATACATTTTTTTACATATAGTCGATAAATACACAATCACATTCAGATTGAACAATGGCGTGTCCAAACAAAATGTACTTAATGTTTGTTTACCGAAGAAAAAACATACCTAGCCTTAGAAATTATGACAGCTCAGTTCGATACATTTTTTTAAGCGTCTTAATTTTTTTTTTTTATTAACAAAATGTCTTACAACCTTTTTATAAGTCCGTTCACACGCTGAATAGAAAAGTCTAACTTTTCGTGGAATGCTAATATTATGGTTCATATTATAAAATGAATATTATTATTTTACTATAATTATACTTAGAGAGAAACATAATTTAATAATATTTAAATTTTTAGCTTCCAAACAGAAATAAAAGCGTACAATAATAACAATGGACAAAATATTAAGTTTGTTTTTACAAAGTACTTTTTTAATGACTATTTGTTGTTAATATTATTATTAATGAAAAAATTTTCATTTTTGTATACTTTCAAGCACATCACAGAACTAGTTCAAAAACGATTTCAATATAATAACATTCAAGAAAAAACTATACACAATTTTGTTTGTATTTTTTAAGACAAGCTTGACTATTTTTTTATTTAACTGATAAATTATAAGTACATTGCACAAATTTCTAAAAATTATTCGGTTAAGTTATAAAATTTCGAACTTTTTTAATGTAATATCTACTAAACTGCAATCTTTTTTCCCTTGTTAAATAAAATATACCATTAATATAATATATGCTTGGATTTTTTAACACAGTTAAATCTACTAATGATACAAGTGAGGTTAAATTTGACTTCTAATTTGAGACAAAACTAATTTGTTGCTTATGTTTAAAAGTTAATTTAAAATTCAGGAATTCGGACCACAGCAAAAAAATGATATCATAATTTAAAAAAATGTCTGTATGTATTACATCACATTGACATTTATAAATAAATTTTCTTACTAAAAATAGTATGAAATACAAATACAGTAATGATTCCAAATGTCTTACCCTTTTAGTCATGATACACAACAACTCTCTTGAACAAAACTTTTCAAGCCATACTCGGACAACTCATTAAAAGTATTGCATGACCGAAGATTCCGTATCATGTTTTGAAACTGGGCCAAATTGGAATTTAGAAACAACTATGTAAAGCAATTAGGAACCCCATAGGCCCAACATTTGTTTTGGAAAGACCATACAAAATTTGGATAACATGTCACAATATATAGTTTGTAATAATTAATTTGTTAATGAGTTATTCAAAAATATACAGAAGAAATACAGTAACAAACGTAATGTTTATGACACAAGTGACAAAAATACATACAAATGAGTATACTTGATTCTCATAAACTTTATTCCTCTTATATTTTAAAATTATTGATATATTTTCTGGTTTATTTCTTATTAAAAGAAAACATGAATGTTCCTAAAAATTGAAACAGAATATCACAATAATTGTCCTGAAAGTCTCCAAAATGAGTGTAGGCGCTTTTGACCCCCCGAGAGAAATCTGCGAAAAGTAAAATCACTGTACAGTATAGTATATTATGCAATATTATAAATTTGTGTTTTCAATTTGATTTGTTTTTAGTTTTCTTCGATTTCGAAACGTGAACGTAGAATACATTTCTACCCGCTCTTCCTCTTTTTATGTTTATGAATACATTTAAGTATTTAATCGTGGCAATTGATTGTTAAAATCTATTTTGAATTAAAAAAAACTCATTTTCATGTCACTATTAATGTTTACAATGTAAATTATCAAATTCTTAAAAGAAGTTCTAATTTTTGTGCCGTATGGGTTAGGTTAATTTTATAAAGAGAATAAGTCGTAATTAAAAAACGTTACATATCTAGTGTGAAAGGAAAACGTTGCAGTTTTCAAAGGGGATAACCTATATTTTTGGGGAATTTGGGAGTTACCATTTTTGGGATTTCTATAGGTAGGTATTTTTGATTAAAACCCTGATTACAAGTAGCAATACAATAAGTTTTTTACACCAAGCTTTTCAGCCCCCCCCCTCCCCCCAAAAAAAACCATGGGCAGAGATATTTTTTAATCGTTCAAAACCGGAAGTCAAACGATAAATATTATACTGACACAATGTGGATTTTTCGATAATCTTCATAGATCTATGCCGTGAAATTCGAGTCCAGGGCTTAGGGGGGCCCTGGATGAGGGGGGGGGGCCCTGGCCTGGACAATGTATCGACGCGCGACCCTCCGGGGGCTAACGGTTTTGCACCGCGTGTGTGCTTACCTGCTGTCTGCCGCAGTGGTCGCCGAGCAGAGCCATTTCCGGTGGTGGTCTACGGGATTTAATTAAACGATTTTGTGTATAATATTTTGTTCGAGCACACGCACCGACGACGACGGCAACCGGCCGACAAGAGCAACCGAAACGTTAACGAAAAAGCGGATGGTTAAAAAACAAAACAAAAAAAAAGTACTCGAATGTTATTGGTATCGAATGAAAATCTCGGACCGCGTGCTACTCATTCATCTGTTTCGAGGGCTATAAAAAAATTATCGAAAAAACTACTGAACGTTGTTTATGTATACAAAAAAAAAAAATGAAATATACATATATTTTTTTAAATACAATTATATTTAATATTACGCTTGTATTGGTATGTGTTTGTTTTTATTTATTTTTTTAATACTTAATTTATTACAATATATATTTATATATAAATTAACTAGCGAATCGGCGGGGACGGCGGGCAGCGACGACAGCGTCGGCGGCGGCGACGGCGACGGCGTCCGGCTGCGATCTGCTGGCTGCTACTTCTCCGGCCGATGGTGATGACGGTGGCGGTGCTGCTGCTGGCCCGGCGCTAGCGTGTGTGTCAGTGCAAACGCGCGCAATGGTCGCCGGCCCTGCCGCCACGGTCGCGGCCGTCGTCTGAGCTCGCCTAGCCGCCAATCAATAAAACGGTCGCGCGGATCGCCGCCACTGTTACTACAACACCGGTGACGGCATGTCTTTTTCGCCATGACGCGCTCTTAACCTCAAATCAGTGGCGGTTTTTTTTTCTAATTGTAAACACCTATTTAAAAAATATTATTTTACCGTCCGGTCGCTATATCGCCGCCGCGCCACGGACAACGCCGCCGATCCATCGCTCGGCAATGCAGCGGACGGCGGAAATAAACCGATACCGACAGATACCGTAAAAGTGTAAAATTAACACACGGCGGTTTTCCTTTCGTTTCTTTTATACCGTAAAAACCGCCGGCCGAGGCCGTTTTGGTGGCGCGAATTGGGTCACGCTTGCGTCTATTTTGGTCGACCGGGGGTCCCCGACGGGCGAAAAACAAATCCGTTGCTCGTCGACAACATCAACAAGAATACCGTGTATTATAATACACTGGACCCTTCCGTGTGTTATTTTGTTATCGTTACCTGTCTGACCAGCGGCAAGAGCGTGTGCTCGATGCTCTTGATTTTGATGTCTACGTCGTCGGCGACGGATCCGCATCGTTGGTGTTCGGCTGTCGGTGTGCTGGACGGCGTCGCGGCCGGCGATTTGGCCATTTGGCATATTTCTGAACGTGGTGCGAGGCGGCCGCCGGCGGTGTAATACGCGCGCGCGAGCGTGTACTGACTACTGCCCGACTGTGCGGTTCTGTTGCTCGACCGGCGGCCGGCGGCGCGTGTACTCACCGCCGTCGCATACAGGGCGCGCGGCCAGCGTAACTGGGCCCGCCAGACGCCAGCGAGGGATCGCACCCTGACCACGTGGTATATATGCGGTGGCGGCGGTTCGGCTGCGCCATCTGCCGCAGTGGCACGTCGTCCTATATAATAATAATAATAACAATAACAACATAAAAAGTTTCAAGTAATTAAGACCGCAGCAAACGCAATCCACGCAGACCTTCCGGAATATTATTAGTCTAAAAAAAACTTTTAAAATTTTGTCCGGGGCGTCACCAGTTTGACCTTAAGAAACGGTCAACGATTTGAGTGCAGCAAAAATAGAAATCTGCCTAGTTAAATATATTATAATATATGTTTCTATAAATACGAATGTATTCTTTTAGTCCAACAAATACAAAAAAATGTCCTCTGAATATGTCAAGCGAGTCCATCAACAGCCATGAATAATATCACTTTGAACGGTCAATCGTTTGAATCTGAGTATCATCGAACTGATGTTAAATGAAATCGATATTATTTTGAATCAATAAACTTGGAACCAATAGTTCTGGAATCCGTTTTATTTGGAAACGATAAATCTTGACTCGATAACTCGGAATCGATTTTTTTTTTTTTTTGAAACTTTATCTTTTGGCCGACTCTATTATGTGTTATGACTTTAAATAAAGCTCTAAACCAAAAATTTCCATTTGTTTGTCCCGAATATTTACAACCGGAGGGGAACCTTTGATTATATTATAGAGCAACTGGAAAATTGTACTCCGGTAACCGGTTACAGTCTAAACAACCGACTCATTTGTCAAATGAGTCGAAGAGAAATAAGGAGCACAATACGTGCCGTCGGATACCGCTTAAAAAAAAGAAAAAAGAATTGAAACTCAGAGGTGAGTCGAGAAGATAATCATGATGTAAATTTAATCTAATAGTCTAAATAAATATGTAAACGGCGCTCCAAAAATATTTACAAATTACTTTTACAAGAACTAAATTATATAATTAATGGCTGTAACTTCATTGCTGTAAATCATGCTACAGATCTAGCAGTTTTTCTATCTGGTGATTGATCCTTTACGGAACACATCACATATATTTGTAAAAAAGCTTCACGTACATAAGGATTTTTAACGAATTTCAAAATATTGCATGCTTAAAAACTTTATATATTGCACTATTGTATGGTCTTCATATGTGGCTTGTGATATTAATAAGATTGAATCTTTACAACATCGATTTTTAACTTAATTATTCTACAAGATTATTATTTCATTACTAAGTTATTTTTACTATTCACCACTTTAATCATAATTTATATTTACAAACCTATTCTGTATGTTATATACAATTTTCTGTACTGTACCTAACCTCCTAACTTAACCTTATGATAAATAAATAACCTAACCAAAAGTTTGAAACCATAAATTAAATTTTTTTATTACCGGTGAAGTAGAGTTTGTCGATTGTTATACAACAAAACAAATAAGCAATGTAAATAAATTATAATTTGTATTCAATGTTAATTTTTAAGCATTTATATTGCGTATTTGAAATGCCTGCTTAGTGTGTACTATTTCCCGATTCACAAAAAATTATAAATGGCCATACCAGCGCTGATGAAACAATTATTCGCTACTGACATACACATATCGGTTTACCCGTATGATAGACTCATGTCATTTAATGTTACATTTGACTAGTGTACCTATATATACATATATAGTAGATACATTTTAGACTAAATGAAATCAGACCAGCTGAAAGTGGCATGTGTCCATGAGCACGATACGGTGTGACGTGTATTAATTATATAGGACCGCGTTATGTGTTAAGTGAATTATTGTGTAGGACTTGAGCATTTTATTTTAATGGACTACCGTTACGTTGTTTTACAGTCATTTGGTGTTCGCATTCGATCTACCAGAAAACATTTCGTGCATAATTCATATTGTAATAAGTAGAAACGTACGATTTTAACCTAAACGTACGGCTTACCGCTTAATCTAAAAAAAATAAATAAATGGCAAAACAGAAAACTTTATTGATAATCGTGTTATAATTGTCAGGTTTTTTCTAATTTATACCTAACCTAATATCGTTTTGAAGTTTTACCAATAAGTAATAACCATAGATGGTTAACCACAACAAAAATACATTATTATGGTAGGTACCATCTATTCGCATGAAACTTTTTTGGACCAGTAACCGACGTGGTCAATGTGGTAACATTTTGGAAGTTTAGATAGGTACCACAACACACGGACAATTATGGAAATCCCTATAGACTGTTATAATATTATATTTAACAACCTCAAGTCAGTACTTTTGTGCCCCACAAACAATAAATACCCTATATATTAAAAATAATTTCTTGAGAACAGCTCTAAGGGGACAAAATGATTAAAATGTCTTAACTATTATCATGTTTGTTATTAATTTTCAACAGGGCTTTCTATAAAGCTGTTGTTTAAGCTTCGATGCGAAGCTGAGAAGGTAAGTACTGTTTTTACAGTAATGTTTTTTATTTTATATTTATTATTTTTTGTGTTTGGACCCACGATATCTTCTAAAGCGTTGACCCAGTTTCCTCGTGTAGCAACTCTATGGATAAGAAATCGTACCTGAGAGGTACTTCGATTTTGGCCAAAAATATAAAAAGTTCACCCACTTCAAAATCTGGAAAATACCCAATAAAATTACATATTTTTCAACTTAAAATTACTGCACTCTATAATTTTTTTTTAAATAGTCGAATTCGTTCCAAATTTGTAATAAATATTCTTTAAACATAGTATAGGTACTGCCATTAAACGTTGGCAAACCAAAACAAATTTAATTAATCCTTTTCCCTAGAAGGGTTTAAAAACATTTTCTATATGTTGCAGTTCAAGGTCTAGAAATTAGACTGGAGGTAATAAGGCATAGCATACACAATTTTCTCAAAAATCTGTAGTGACTTTTTTTTCGTCGAGCAAAACCCCCCAAAAAAGGGGTAAATTACATTTTGACCGTAGTCAATTTATAAAGGTTTGCTTTGTGTGAGTGAATCAACAGTCAACAGGTAAAAGAAAATATTTTTTAAGGAACTAACAACTATTTCAATAAATTATTATAGACATGAACAATAATCGTACTTACCTAAATACTTAAAAATACATTTTTAAGGGGATAATATGAGGTCTGTTTTTTGACGTTTTCGACTAAAAAGCCAGACAATATTTCGACTACTTCGGATGGTCCGGTTTCAATTCTGTAAATATTTATGAGTTCTCTGGCAACTCTACTAGTTAATGTAGGAAATGGATTTTTGGTTTTTTTGTGTAAAAAAATTGAGTTTTAATTTATTTAATTACAAGAAACTGAAATGTTTAAATGAAAATCAGATTGCTACATAACACAACAAAGTAGCCAAAGAACTCAAATCTCTTTACTGAATTCAAATTGGACCATCCAGCATCCTAGAGAGTAGAAATTTTGTCAGGATTTTTGGTCTAAAATAAGCCAAAATTAGTTTTACTCATAGAAAAAATTATATAAATTAAAAACAATATCTTGGGGCCGAATTCACGACAAATTCACCGGAAAATTAATTAAAATGGTCGAAATTGATTAAAACTACTTTTTTCTTAAATATTGCCTATACAAAACTCCTTAAAAATAGACCGCATGCAACCCCCTAAGCACATTATTGTCAAATTAGGTACAATGCTTTTATCGATATTTTTATTTCTACTATTATAGTTTTTTTTTTATAAGAATCTTCCGTTTATTGTAAATTGCAAAAGCAGTTGCATTTGAAACACTGATGCACGATACAAAATTATAACCATTATTATCCAATAATGGCTATCATAAAAAAAAAAAAAAATTATAACCAAAAACTAACAACAAATACTAATAACAATTTACAATATTCAGTAAAGAGAACTAATAAAATAATTGATTTGAGCTTGGCCATAAGCAAATAAGATTAACTTACATAGGTATGTATAGTTTTTTTTATGATATGGTTACCGAAATCGAGCACACATACACATACTATCGGGTACACAAACTATAACATATGCTTAACTTGCTGAAAATTTATAAAATAAAAAATAAGGATTTTTTGTTTTGAAAAAAATGTACATATTTGTTTTTTGTGTCTGCTATCTGCTTGACGTATTTTAAGATTTATCCAAAAAATGGGTAAATATTACGATGCATGTTTTTACATTAGTTTTTTTTTTAAGTGTATTTCCTTATTAAACCTAGCGTGAATGAACAATTTATTCTTTGCAGCAGCAATGCCGTCAAGAACAAATAATCATACCAATCAATAACACTCAGAACTAATGTTTTCTACGGTAAGTAATCCATAAACACACGTAACAATGAACATAAAATAACACGTACTGTTGACAATTCCGAACTTTCCATAAAACAAATTTCTCTTGTATTCTTTTTGATATAAGTCGGTCATTAAAATAAAAAGCATAGAGTTGAAATAATCTAAAATAACTTAGCTACTAATTTATAATAAATACTTATTTCAAAATAAAGTTTACTTATGAAAAAAATAACACATAAAAATGAGTAAACAGCTAATATGGTTAAAAAAAAGTCTATTGTCGAGTTTGTTCTTTAAAAGCTCAATGACTGAGTTTAAGTTTGTGAATTTTTGTAAAAAAAAACCTACGTAAAGTTTAAAATTAAAGAAATAAATGTTTAATTTTAAAATAAAGTCAATTCAGATAAATAAAATGTGCATACAAAACATAATTTAATAACTATTATGATTTATTTATATTATTAAATATTTTAATTTTTTTTTTCATAATACATTTTTTATAATAATTAATAATTGAGAGGTTAGACGTAATTCAGGAACAAATTAAACATAATATTCAAATAACAAATAATAGTCTTACAAGTATATTGTAAAAATCTTAAAAATATTAAATATTGATTTCTTATCTATTTAATATTGTCACTTTGAGAACCGCATCATAACTTACGTTATAGTCTAAAATATCAATAAATTGTAACACACCGATGGATATTTTAAAAATTAATAAGAAATTAAGAAAAACTATAAATATACAGAAAAACAACTACTCAGTAATAATCTACTAAATAGTTAAGTTAATAAAATATATTAAACTCGGTGATTAACTCTAATTTTTAAAACAGTTGTTGCCTTTGATTGTGTTCTTCTTCCTCGGCTTCTAACAATTTTAACTGTTGGTCCAGTTCGTCTTGTTCTTGTTGCAATAGTTTTTGTCTGTGTTCTTCTATCATTCTGTTTTGGTGTTCTTCTAGTTTTTTCTTTTGTTGTTCCTCCAAAATTTTTTGTTGCAGTTGTTTTTGTTCATGATTTTGTGCAGCCTTTTCAGCTTTTTCCGCTTTAGTGGCACTTTTTTGTGATTTTTGATTAACTTGTTTCTGCGGAGTTTGATTAACAATTTGAACAGGTAACTGCACTTGGTTCTGCTGTAAGGTTTCTTGTTTAATTGTATTAATCAATTGATGATTGATTAAAAAAAGGAATCTCAATCCAGCAACCTAAAAAAATATAAATACAATACCATCAATAGAAGTTCATTACATTGTTATAATAAATATACATTCTTTATACTTTAAAATTAAAAGGAATTCCAATTAAAAAAAAGTCAGCACAGTAGAGTTGTGCATGATGAGGACAGAGCAAATTGAGATCACAGAGCTATAGGAATTATTATAACTGAGAGTAATAATATCACTCTTAAATAAAACGCATTGATGCGAATATGTCAAAAGTACAATTATTAAATATCCATTGTACAGGCAATGGATATGTACTTAAAATTTATTTTCTCTCATCAAATTTTCACATGTGACATGTGTCAATGTGATATTGAGCAAGTTTGGTAAGAATGAGTATATTATTCACAAGCGAGTAGATAGTAATTTCACCTAGTGTAATCTTAGACATAACAATTTGTAATGATAAAATAATCAAATAAATTCACCTCCAATACTGAATTGTGATTAAGACGGCAACGACTACCCGCTGCTAATGGTTTTCCATCTACGTATATACATTTTTTACCCTCGCAGACTATTAAAAAGTCACCAGTATTACGAAGACGTATTGTCGCTTGTCGTCTTGATATTTTCCAAGAGGGTCCCTCGAGTTTTAAATCCACATCGACTTGCTGATATTTAGATGATCGTCCAATAGTAATCTGATAAACAAAATACGAAACGTGTTAAAAATAAACCTAATAAGAAAGTGATAAAATTTGTCAAAATCCAAAACACCTCTTTCGATCTCATCAAGTATCTGACTAATCGTCCTCGTAATACAGCTAACGTCTGAGGTTCAAACTCAACTGGGTTAATACCCGTCATCGGAAATACTAATACTTGAGCTCTCGGCAATTCGTCTTCTAACGTTTTTATTTCTCTCTTTACTTTTCTGTTTGGAAAATAAAATACAATTATTTTTACACATTATAAATTGTGTACAGAATTGTAAAAAATATAAAAAACAATTATTTACTTATTCGTTATGGTAAGATGTCGTTCGAGTACAGGATCAGGCATTTCACTCAATAAATGTTGATCATTAAGTAATTCTTCACATTCTGCAAACGTAGGAATGTGCTCTGATGTCGACAAAGTCGTAACTAAAAATATATAAGCAGTCATACAGTTTTTGATCTTTCAAGTGCTCTTTTTGTTTATACTATCCATAATTGAGCACTCGGAATAATTTTTAAATTACAAAATAACTCTTCACATTTTCGGTTTTTATAACTCTTTGAGATAAAACATTATTTTTGTCTTATCAAATCAAACGTATAAAATTATATAAACTTTAAATTAAAATAAGATAGTCAAAATTGAATAAATATATACATTTTTTGAGAGTTAATAAAAAATGTTAAACACAGTTTTGAAAATTATAGTTGGTAATTTTCCATAAATTAATTGTAAAATAGGAAGAATTAATAACTATTATATAGAGAGTAGAATAAATTGAAAAGTACCTTCTTGTTCATTATTGAGGATATGAATATTTCTGTCTTCGACTGCACTCATTAATGGCAACGGAATAGGATTTTCCAATGCACCTAAAAATATTTAAATAATATTCTTAAAAGTCCATTTTTTATATTTCTATTAGTATATTACAAGTTAACATCTATCGTCCTACAACATACTAAGCTGCGCTGAGCAAAATTTAATATGACAACAAATAACAACTAAAACTAACTGTACAACATATTAATTTAAAAAAAAAAGGTTATATTTTATTCGATAATTTAAAAAAAAACATTGCCTAGTCAAATAAAAAATGATTTGAATATTTTAAACATAATAAAATATTTAGCCCAATTAACTTTATTTTTTTAGTAACATAATTACTTAACCTATGAGGGGAAAATTAAAATATTACAAACAAATAATTTGTTTTAATATATATATATATATATATATATTGGTGATTTATTTAATTTATTATTAGAATAAAAATGTATTCAAATAAACTAAAAAATATAATTGGCAGAGTTGCTCATTAACCAACTGGCCAATTAAACAAGTATTCATTTTGCGTAGTTGATAAAAAATAATAGAAACTAACGTTTTTCTGAAGATCAAAGTAATAACTAAAATTGCTGATAAATATAAATACCAATGCAGAAAACTGGCATATTGTCTTAATTTTAAAATTAAAAGTTAATGTGAACAGATTAGAAAAATATGTTTGTAGACTGTGATCTGTTTAGAACGGCATCTAATTAAGTTAAAAATGATGAATAGCTAATAATCAATACAAACATCTGTTCATTTTTTTTTTTAAATAAAATACTCACTGCATTGATCTGATAATAAAGAGTAGCGTTTCATCAGTTGCCAATGACACATGAGTATTTTGGCTGTTCTTCTACGATGAAGTATATTTGGATTTTGAGCAAGCAACTCTTGAAATGTTTCTATTGTAGGCTGCGTGTTCTGTAATAAATCAACAATTTTTAGATCAATGTACACAAATCATTTTCTCATGACTTACCGATTGTACTGTAGCCAAAAGTTCTTCCTCGGCAATAGAAAACAATGCTTTGGATTCAATGTTGGCTATAGTTTCCGGATGTAAATTTCTCATAGCGGACACGGCGAGTCTTGAAATAGTCGGGTCGTATAATAAGGCGTACCACCGTTGCGCTATTTCTTTATGAGTAAATCTACAGCTGAACTTCACCCCTCTGTGCACCATTTGTAAATTATTTGTCTGAAACAAACAGGTACAGTAGTATTATATTTAACAATATTGATATTGACATTTTTAATTGCCATAAACAATAGATACCTGCAATACACTTTGTATGAGCATTAGGTCGTCAGAAGGTTTCCAACGTCCCAAGTCCTTGTTCAAGTTCTTTTGTTTTCTCGACCTATTTCTATATGACGGTGACGGAACTGCCGACGTTGTAGCTATGTTACCGAATGGATTCAACGTCGCCGTACTTAGCGACATTCTATTGGATGGGATCTTTCGCGGTGGTGCACTCGAAGTCGACGGTATTGAACTTACAGGAGTCCCTATTTCAGGAATACTGTGAACTGGAGACATCACGTTGTCTAATTCTGTAAAAATAAAAATAAAAAAATGTTCACATAATAATAAACACTAGGCATTCATAGTGTGACATATAGTTCAAATATTGCTTGACAAGTTATTTTGCAAATTGAACAAGGAGAGAGGGTTGATATTTATGTAGAGGGCATTTAAACATTCAGCTCTCACAATAAATTATAAATATCTAATTTAAGAAAAAAAATTACACCTGTAGTTGAGGACGTCAAGTTCAAAGACTGTGTTCGAGTACGTTGTGTTTTAGGTAAAGGGGAGCCAAATGCCGCACCCAGACTAGACTCAACCAACTCGTCATCAAACTTCCTTCGTTTGATCGATCGTGAACTAAAGTTAAAAATAATAATTTAACCAAATCACTTACAGTACAAATTTTATCGGTAAATTTAGCTATAATACCTTCGACGTTTTGAATTGTCGTCCATGGCTGCGGTATTGCTATCGTTTAAACTATGATTAGAAGACGATGCCATTTTCTGTCAATCGTTGGTGATTTCCAGAAAAAATAATTAACAGTAATAAACAAAAATTAACTCTTATATTTTGTGACGAATCACCAACGCACGCAATCACTTTTACTCAGTACTTTTTGTATACAGTAATAATTACTACACTCAATACCTAACTAAGTTAGTAATAAAAAAACATTTCTAAATTTCAATAAATAATAAAAATTAAAATATCGATGTCCAATAATTATCAATATTAATGTAGATTGTATGTAATAATATGTTAAAGGTATTTATGAAACGTTAACAAAAAAACAACGCCGCTTGGCTGATAATGCCCAAACATTGGGATTACAGTGTTGCCATCACAAACAATTTTTTACATCCCATGTCTTCTTGCATAACCGTGATAATTATGTTTGTAAAAAAAACACATAAAACTCGACGAGAAGCCAATAAAATTATTGTTGTACTCATATAATAGGGTTTTAATTAATTGCACAACCGCATGCACTAGCGAGAAGACCAAGAGAAACCTTATATAAATATATGCAGAATCTTATTTCCAATACTAATATGCGTATACCTAACGCCAATTATTCATTGTCGGATTGTCGAGTCATGTTGAGGGAGAAAAAGTCTTGGGTTATATAAAAGCACTTATGAATAGATAAGACAATATAATTATAGTATTGCAAAAATATTATTTATTTTGTTCATCATTCATACTCTTTATTGGATTCGACGTTAATTTCGTTAAAAAAAAAATGTTGGGTAAAAAACCATAATCTAAATATTAATAACTTATGGTGGACAATTTTTCTCTTAATGTGTTTTGTATACCTAGGTAGATGATATAAAAAAAAAAACTCCCGAAAAAAAGTAGAGATAATTTGTATTATTATTGATCACAATCAATGATAATCATACCTTTTAGTATTTTGTAAAAGTCCAATTACTATTCATGTAATTAGTTAGCCTTCATAATTATTTCGACAACGCCATCACAGTATAATGTATGCAATACATCGGACACGCATAACTAACATTGGAATTCATTTTTAATACTCGCAATGATAAACATTAAAACATAAAAACAATTTTAATTTCTCGTTTGCGTTGTATAGTTAAAATATAATAGGACTAACGAGGAGAGTTTTATCCCTATATTTATGTCTGGTAATACAATTCATAATAAGTAGGTAGGTACTTAAAAAAAAAATGTCATTATAAAGATTATTGACAAGTTAGTAGCTGCGGTAAAGAGTAACCATAATGGATTATAGTATATAAATTATATGTATATTTCTTTTTTTAACAGAACCAACGATTATTTGTATTGTATTCAGTTTTAATGGAAATTAAATTATAGACGTGTAAAAAAAATGCAATAAGTTATTAACGCGTTTTTCGTTGAATTTGTATCTAAAAAGTAAAATGTTTTCGTTATCCAGAAAAGACAAATTCAACTACACACGTGTATTATTGTGCCTACATACAAACGATGTAGGTATAAATGTATGTAAACAACACATTTTTAACAAAAATGTAAGTATAAATCAATTTATATTAATATGTTAAAAAACGTTACTCCTTGGCAAAGTTGGACATAATTAAAAAAAAAAAATTATCTATTTAATAACTAGTACTCATGATTATTTTTTTAGTAGTAAGAAATTAAAACTACTATACATGGTAACGTTTTTATTATATTGTATAAAAACATATTTTTTTCTCATTTGTTGAAATTCATATATGGAGTATAATGATAATAAATTCAATTATTTAACCATTAATAAATTTATTTGTAACCAAAATTTAAATTTTTAATCATGAATACATTAATTTGAAACAAAGAAAATTATTCACGATAAATATTATTTTTACATGTGATTAATGAATCATCAATAATTATTATTAAATTTACTTTTATCTTTAAATAAAATGTCCCCAACACTGCTCCCTGGACAAAAGTTTGAAAGTTATGAAGAGTTTTTTAACACAATATTTACCATGTAGCCTTATGAAGAAAAACATTACCTAATGCTTGTGTCAAAAAATATACAACTAAAAAGAGAAATTATATAAAAATGTGGAATAAGGTTTCAATAAATGTATTAAAAGTTTACTAATTAACAAAAAAAACAAGGTCTGGATGAAGGATCTACTTCTCTCACCCCTTCCTCCTTCCATAACTGCGTTGCTGACCGTGATCCGCGAATACTGATATAAATATAATTATAATACAACTATGGTGTGTATTTTATATTCTATATTTTGCTGTATTGTCCATTTATTCACCTATATAATGGCTATAGATGAGTATCTATAGCCATTATATATACTCATCTATGATCACTACAATTCAACCTATCCAAGGGCGTACCTACATTAACCAATGTGACCTATATTATTACCTTGTAAGGTCAACAATTTTAAATATTAAATAAATGAATATTATCCCACGCAGTAAATAAAAAAATAGGTAGTAAACAAAAGTATAATTGTTTAGGAATGACGAATAACTACATACAATTATTTTCAAAAGAATTACTTTGCCCAACAACGAATATTAGAAAGTAACTAGGACCTTGAATATTAAAAAACGAATATTGAAACGCATCAATCACGCTAACAAATCAGTTTTAGCCAATTTAACAAATTCCATTCGGTACCGCATCTTGATTTCTGATAGTTCGATGTAGTGTCTGTTCTTCATCATTTGCACTTTTTCAACCCTGAAAAATAATTAAAGAAAATATGTAAAATTTTGATATTTTTACTAGTTAAAGTAGATAATATAATATAGATATTATATCAGATTGTTTAATCAATTCGTCAAAAATATTTTAAGTAAAATCGTTTAAAAATGTTACAGTATTTTTACTATATTCTATTTTTAAAACTATTATTTTAAACTTAAAATATGTATAAATACGTAAAACATACATTTATATATTACAAAAAAATATACTTTATTGTACATTATATTAAAAAGTAATTATTGAAAACTGGGTTGTGACCAACAATTATAATGTATATCGTATGGTTAAATAAGTTAAGAAAATGTATGGGTAAATGACTTATAAAGGTAGGTGCCTAACCTATTAAAACGTTTTATTTAAATATTAATAACTGATTATGGTTATTTATAATTATAATAATTCAAGTGATGAGTACCATAAAGGTACGAGCGACAAATTTAAAAAATTAGTTTTTTATTATATCTTATCCTTATGTGTATTAGTTTTAAGTTTTTCATTAGAAGAAATGTTTAATTGCAAGTAAAAAAGTTAATTAATCAATTATAATTTCCTTAAATTTTTTAATGTAAATTGAATTAATAGACCACTCCCCCAAAGATAAAAAAAGATTAATTCTGTACCGTGTTTTATTAGGGACTAGTTGGCTATTGAATTGTCCATCAACCAGCTCCCCAACATGTCGCTGCTCCATCTCAACTGTCTCGAAAGTTTGAAGCCATATTAATTCACTCATAAGATTAGCATAACAATACGCTAAACTATTGGTCTCATCGGCAATATCAGTTTTCTTCTTTTGAAAAATATCCAAAATGTTGAATATCTTCGATAGTCTAGATGAAGACATGTTATTGGAGTAAACAACAATATCAACTGAATGGAAATTAAATTGAAATTATTTACATTATTTTACAAAATAATAATAAGCTAGGATACAATAAACAATAATATTTTATAAAAATATTTTGTAAACAAATTAAACTTGGGTACATTTTTTAATAAATAAACAAAGAACTATTCAGATAAAAATAATTAAATATAATTTTATAAGTGAAGTATTTTTTTAAATGTTTTAATAACTTTTAATTTTATCAAATTTTTTTTTAAAAATTTTTTATTCCTTATTAGTTAATTTTCATTACCTAGCTCATCGCCCCTTGATTGTAATCACCATATCTACAATCGATTTCCTCTTAATTATTTTACCTAAATTTCTTATTTTGTCCATTCAAATTACCTTAACATTATCATTTCCAAACGCTCGTTTTTTTTTAGGGTTTAATGGTAAATGAATAGACTTTTCAACTTACTTTCTTATAAACTAGGTACCGCCAGTGTACAATATCTGATATAGAAACTGTATACTATATGAAAAAATCTATCTGGTGTTAAACCCACTTTGTAAAACCAACCTTTTTTAACCTGCAACGATGTTATGGAAAAAAAATAATACATAATATATAAATAACATAATTTATTTTACTAAAAATATATTATGCAATTAAAATAAATAGTTTTATTCTATATTATAAATATTTTTAATTCATATAATAATCATGATAATTGAAATTATCAAGAAATGCTATGAGGAAGGCTCAATTCCGGAAGACTTCAAAAAAATCAAAACGATCACTCTACCCAAGAAAGGAAATGCTACCGATTGCTCAAACTACAGAACCATCGCTATCCTATCTCACTCGTCAAAGGTAATTCTGAACATTATAAAGAACAGATTAAAACACAAAGTGGAAGAAAAACTTGACAATGACCAGTTTGGTTTTAGGATGGGTAAAGGAACGCGAGAAGCTATTTGCATGTGACAGACATGATAGGCTACAACAACAAGGTTTGGCCTTTAGAAGCTGATGATGATGATGATGATAATAATCATGATATTGGAGCAAATCATGGTGTTATAACTTTAATATACTACTATACTACTGAGTACAAAATAATTCACTGAGAAAAACAAATTATTACATAAAAAAAGAAGGAGAAAAGCTACACATTAATGATGGAAATAACAAATAATTAATTAATAGTACATACAGAGTTTGGAATGCAAAATAAAATCAATATAAAAAATAGCTAAATTAGTTAAAGACGTTTAGTGTATTAATTTGTAATTAAATAATAATGCCAACCCAGTTTTAATTTTGAAAAAAGGTTTAGCAATTGCCGGCAAAGAAATTAAGTTTTTATTTTCGAGCTTAATTCTAAAAAAGTTAAAAAAAAAAACTCTTAAATAAATATTGCGTAAAGTTGTAAAACAATACTTAAAAGGACAAAATATTAATGAGTTAAAAGAAATCTGTATTCGAATTATATTTTATTCGTGGTTTGTCAATAAATTATATATATTGTATTATAATTTAAAGCTTAAACTATAAATTATAATACATTTTCTTAAAACATTTATTTCCTACTCGTGCCACTTTTCTGTCTGAAATATATGTGCGATATATTTTAGAATAACAAATACATCTTGCATAAAAACCAATTAAAATAAACATTTATCTAGGGAAATAACACGTCCTGAATTGAATTGTTTATTCTAAAATAAAATATATATATATAATCCGTGTAAAAATTGTTTATGAGCTGAATTGTACATATAAATGTATAATAATATTTTAATAGTCATATTTATTTTAACAAATCACGAATACAATATAATTCGAATACAGATTTCTTAGCGGTTTATTGAAATTAATGGTCAATGTGAGAAACCGCATAAAATTAAACAATAATTTTAATAATAAGACATTGGGATAGCGTCTTAATCTGATAGTTTTGGTGACTATTTCAAATAAAACACCGTTTTTTACTGGCAGTTTCTTAAATTTTTATTTTTTCCCCAAAATTGATTTTAAAGTTTGCAGTAGGGTGCGCGCCTGTGAATATTAGTATTGCATTGTGACATCAATAATAACCGTGTATTTGGTTCCATTTCCAATTTCTTCAATCACAACCCCAATGATGATGTTATTATAATATTATTTATTATTGTGTGACCTAACGGCAACTTAAATAAACTCTCAGATACCGTTTAACAGCGTTTTTCTTTGAGGCGCAATGCCCTTGGTATAACATATTGCGTGTAGTAACAAAAAAACGTCAACCGTACCGTATAAAATGAATTAAACATTATGTATCAAAGTAAATAATTAATATTCTTATAAAAAGCGTTTTTTTTTCTTACAAAACATGTTTTTATAGCTGTTCTTTTTACTACGTGGGTTTGTCTATAATTGCAACAATACAACGACGGTTGTCGTAAATAACACTTAGGAAGGGGCCCCTCCCTCACAAACGTTGTTATACCTATAGCGGGAAATTTTATATGTATTTTCCATATTATTATCGCCTACAATGCGTATATAATACAAAACAATCACAAGTTTATACAAGTATGTTACGTACACGCATTCGCTTTGACTAAACTTATAGTAGGTTTTTTATACGAATACAGTAGACGGCAAGACTATAGATTACTAGTGTCCCTTATTGTGGAGGAAATTTTGTTTTTTACAAATGGGTACCTAAGAATAATAATATAGTCCATTAAATTCGTCTTATAATGATTAGCTATTGGCTATTAACAGTATGTTATTACTAGGAGTGGACAAATTACTGGAAAAAAAAAGAAAAGAAATGGACTACAAACAACTAGTTAAAAATATGTATAGTGTTGTTAAATAACCACGTTGTAAAACAATCAACATGTTAGTGTTTTTTTTACAGAAACAGCACGCACGCCGTTCATATATTTTTAACTCTAATTTCACCTTTGATTTCCGAGAGTAAATATTATACAGTATTACAGTACTTTGCGACCGAATAATAATATTTTAAGATTTTTCAATTAATTTATACTCATTTGCGCTATAAAAACTGCGGTTTGTGTTATTCTTAACTGTATTAAATATTTTTTTAAAAAATTTTTAGTTACAAAAAAAAAAAAAATTCAAAATAGCCTTTTTTAATGAGAATAATTTGAGAATTTTGTCTGGTCGATAACCAGGAAATCAATTTAGACCTAAAAGCCTGATAAAATTACGCTTACTTAAAATGATCGGATTTCAGTTTAGTAAATATTTAAGTTCATCGACCTTTATGCCAGGTTATTGTGCAAGTCGATTTTTGAATAACTGTATTTAATTTACTTAAAAAAAAAAACAATAATGGGAACACTGAAAATTTGATAAACTCAAATATTACTTTAACACAATTTTAATTGAAAAATCGATCCAAACACCGATAAACTCATAATTTTTACAGAACTGAAATGGGACATCATAAGTAGACGTAATTTTGTCAGGGTTTTAGGAATAAAACGTCCAAAAAATCGACCGCTTTCAATCCCCTTAAGGTGCCTTTACGCTAGCAATTATTAGGGCGCATTATATAGGCAATCTGTCATCAAAACTTCACATTTAAGCTAAAACTTGTAAGTAAAAGTTATCTATTTGGATATTTAATTTATTTTGGTCGTATATTATTTTTTATAAATAATACATTAATTACAACATAGCTTCAAACAATTTATATTATGTCCTTACCTACTAAAGACAAATATGCTTAGGTACGCACAGTTTTAGGTTGAGGTGATGGAACTTGGAAGCACACACTTGTTCTTAAGAAGGGGGAGCACTAGCGTTTATTAAGGCGCATTGTGTTGTCAATTTTTCAATAAAACATAACAATAAGCTAACATTTGTAAACTCATATCAACACAGCAAAGATTGATGTTTCATTTTTCTTTTATCTATTATAACATCTTTCGAACAGTACAGTACGTCACTTTATTCTATGTTAATTAACTATTGTTTTTAATTTCCATACAACAACTTATAAATAACTATTTATTAACAAATGTTCATTATTATTCTGTGTCTATTGGCATCATATGTGGCGGGCAGTTTGATTAAATAAAGTTGTGTCTATCTCTATAATATATTACTCATGGCAGTAATTATATTTTGCATACTACATAGTACGAGGGTTATTAGCACTTATTTGGGTGCTTTCAAGACTTTGAAGGGGGGAACTTCAAATTATTGGCCCAGTAAAGTAACCTTTAGATTATACCCTGTGTTAGATAATAGTTCTGATCTATAGACTTACTACATGATGAAATCGGTTCAGCCGTCAGCGGTTTAAAAGATATCGTAGGTCCAGGCATTAAAATAAAATAAAAAACAGCTCTGCAAAGAAGCTAAAAAATGAAAATAAAAATAATTAAATGAAAACAAATAATTTTAAAAACAAACAATACTTTCTAAGCTCCGCATCGAGTTTAGAGTAAAGTACTAAGTAGTAAAGTGGCTGCCACGACTTAATAATGTAGTGTTGTAATGACACCATCAGGCAAATTTTTAGATGCAAATCTATGTACCAAGCAACGCTCCCTCCCCTCCCCCCATTTCCACCACAGTTATTATTGTTTTGTATTACATAATTCGTATGTACGAAAATATCTACACAGTTTAATTAAAAAAAATATATATTACCTACTTTGGTATTTAAAACTTTTAGCTATAAGTAATAGTTATGTAAGGAAAGTACCGTCGTGGGTATTAGACAATAGACCGTACTACTCAAAGTTGTTGTCACCTAACGTGTACCGATATACAGACAACGCGACCGGGCAAGGCCGATTCGATTTACGGACGTGGGTTGTAGGCTTTGTCGTGTGTGTATTGTTACCACTAAACAAAACGTACTATAATAACAATACATAACATTGGCTGGCAAAAAATTTAGAAAAAAAAACCAACGGTATGCACAGCGGCGCTTGGACGCGGTGTATATATATATATTTTAATTTTATTGTCGGTAAAACGAATTTCCGATTAAAAGTAGACACACGATTATGCCCGTGGATAACAACACTGAGAACCTATAAAATTATCATTACCATGTTTATAATTATTGTAATGATATTCAAATGGTATTCTCAAGGCAAAGGGGATGTCGTCTGCGGGTCATGATACTCGCACAAAAGCAATATATACAAAGTAGTCTGCAAACGATATAATACCGTCGACCCAACAGTTGCCGTTACAGTATCTATATAATATACAAGGCGATTATTTTATCATGGGCCACTGACCACTCGATATCTCATAGGGTTTAATAAGAAATTTAATTTTTTTCATATTGTTTTTATACAATGTGATCTAAATTTTTCAAAAATTTAGATTAAAACAAAAAAAGTTGTACAAAATTGACATTGTATAAAAACAATATAAAAAAAAAATATTATCTTATTCAACCATATCGAGATATCGAGTGGCCCGTGATAAAAGAATTACCCTGTATTCTACTTATATTATGTACTATTGTTTGATTGCGAGGCTCACGAGTTATAACTTGAACATATCATGCAATAATTCTATAATACATCATAATATACTCACTAGATAATTCACAGACAGCCAATACATTGTATTGTTTTTTCTCGACTTCTCGTGAAACACAAAAGTATAATCTTGGTTTCAGCTTCGACGCGGGGCTAAATAGGTTTTTTGGTTTTACAAAAATGTTGCCATTGTTTGTTCGTTATTATATGCCGCGACCTACGTTAAACTAATAACCACCACCTAGATTTTTTTCATATTTCGCTTGTAGATCAAACATCGTACTTAAGAAGGCCAAAAGTTGAAAAAGTCTGCGCTTTCCCTTTTTTTATTATCGATCAAAACCCGTTAAAAATAAACACGAGAAGTGTTGGTATGTAAAATCAAATTAAAACAAAATTATCAAAAAAAATTACTATTTGTTTGGTGTATAAAACTAGTAAAATGGCATTAGCTTTTTCCCTCAGAAGGTGTAAAGTATCTATATTTATTATAATAAGTTCATACTTACGAATGGACAACCAAAACACCGCCACAATAAATCGTTCTTCTTAGAGGCTCTTTTTATGCTCTAAGTTTATATATATATTTATTATTTAAGTCCACCTTAATCCACGGTTTAAAAGAATCCATTGAGAGCCATTTATGTTGAGTTGAGTTAGTTTGTTATTGCTCATTAAATATGTGTAAATTAAATAAAACTATTACACGACAATAGACAAACTGCAATTACAAGGAAAATAACAAATTTTAACAAAATAATGGTTTAACTGACGATAACATTAATCGAGTAAAAATAGATTTTTAGACATTGGTCAATGATTAAGATTTTACCGGACACCCACAAACAGACCGAAGATGATACATATTAATATTCAACATAGATAACATTAACTTAAGGTTACATATTGACCATAGTTATGTTAATTATTTTATATTGATATCATATTTTAAAACAATATTATGATAATCCGCCAATATGATATAATGTATTGCATTTCGGCTTAATATACAAAATACATAGAATACTTCTAATAATTTGAATGGCACTATATTAGAAACGATGATTGTTAGTGGCAGAGCATGTTAAACGATTTGTAAAGCATTATATTGAAACGTTACAAACAGTAGATTGGTCATCATCATTATTTCTAAAAATCAGTTTGTATATTTAATACGTATTAAACAATTATACTTGTATTCAATTTATTATTTTTAACTTTGTTGTGGATAATAAATTACTCTAAAGCTGTACGATTATAGAGGTTTTTAATTTTTATTAAATATTTTTCTGTATGTTGAAATGTATATAATGGTTACAAAACCCGTTTTACGAAATTTTATTTTAAAATGTAATATTGAACATACATATTCATGCTGTTTATATGTAATTTAAAAATGTGTTTTACATTGAAGTTTATAAACACCACGTTTATCATAATTTGTTTTATTTTATTTTTAATTGGTTTTTTGCTCGACCGTAATTAACTGTATAATTAAATTTTGTGTTCAAATTATTTTAGTTTTTTTTTATTGTGCCTATATCAAAATAGTTTTTTTATTATCATTTCATAAAATACAATGAAATATTTTATAAATACAATTCATTATTTATACGTGTATGTGTGTGTAGACTTAACATCTAACATGAAGAAATTGATATCAGTGGTGAATCATTAACGTCTCTAAATTGCATAAAAGCCGTCAGACCAGCAAAGAAGAAACAAGTAGAGACAATCCGTTTGTTTCCCTATTGACTTTAGAGGCGGTGAAAAATATTTAGTGAATGCCTGGAAAATTAGTGACGAAGCAAAGGTTTTAAAATGTACTTTATTTTAACGCCAACTAATAGTTTTTCACGTCAGGGACACACTGCCAGGTCCTTTATTTGATAACTGACCATTGTCGGTATTGTCCACTTGATTCTTTTGTACTTTGTTGAAACCAAAAAAATACATAAACATAGGACATACTTCGTAAGACATGTCGGGCAATTGACACAGGTATAGTGCACATAATATTATTTTATACCTACTCTATCGATTAGGCGAGCCCGCCAAACAACCAAACACCACCTAACGACGCCGGCAATCGATATGAATGGCGAATAGACTTTATGAATATTATTATGTCTTCAGGATAGGACGAACAAAAAAATAAATAAATAAATATAACACAACCACGTCTTACACATACCCTGTATATTTCACAACACATTTGCAAATCAAAATAACAATAATATTATATATTATAATTATAATATAAATATAGTGTACAACGATAATAAACCAAGGAGAAGTAATAATTATAAACAAAACAAATAATTGTATGATAATCATAGATGCCGGAACTAGTATTTAACCATAACGGGGTGTAAACTACTACAAACAATACTAGTGACTTACAAAAAAAAAACACCAAACTTTATAACATCTAAATAATATACAATTAAAACAAACAAATATTCCATTCATAATAATACAATAATATTTACCGCAGGCGGATAGGTAAGTGCCCGTGGAATTATCTATATCGCTATATCTAGACAAATGTACAAATTCCCGAGGAGTATGTGTGTGTGTGTGTTTGTCTTAAACTATATCCTTAACCGGATTAACTAAAAATAATACATATTTTATAATAATACAATTCAATAATATCATAAAGGTCAGAGAAGAGAAGTACAATAATTATAATAATATACTATATAAATATTATATTATAATTTGGTTTTTGGATAATGCCTAATTTATAATAGCGAGAAATATGTTTGCCATAATCCAAGTCCGTACCTACACACGAATTACAGATAAAAAACAACAATAATTATATTATTGTTAATATTGTAACATACCTAATAGTAATCCATTAAATCAATAAAATATTACGAATAAAAAAAAAACAAATAGATAAGAGAATGATATTTTAATATGTGTACAAACGGGCGGGTTAAAAACGATTAGATTGAATAATTTAATAAAATATTTATTCTATAATAATTAATATATATAGTACTGCATTTATAAAATTGGTTTGCGACGGACAAAATTCAGTTTAAGGCACATAAAATAATACGAACGCATATATAAACGACGTCCGGAAATCACTGTTTAAATAATTAATAAGGCGCATTGCGATCACAAAAAAAGAACATTTTGCCAATGACAAATTTTTGGTTACATATAAAATTCCTGTATCGAATCCTTTAAAAAAAAAAAAAATTAAATAACCAAGGTAAATCGGATAATAATGTACACTATGTTATTTTGGAGATATTAACGAGACATGTTTTTGGGAGGTTTTAAAAAAAAAAAAAAAGAATTACAATTAACGCTTTTTTGGGTTTTCTATAATTTATTATCAAAAGTTACGTCGAATACAGTAAATCAACTGTTCACCGCAATAATTAGGTAATGCAAAATTATGACCTTCCCAAAACACTTTTTTTTATAATTAACCTTCAACGAATTAAGAATGAATACAATGAACGAATTATATTATTTTAAGTTTGCCAGAAAGAACAAAATAAGTTGGAAATTTTTTTTCCCGCATAATTTCAAAATAGTAAACACGCAAACGCTGTGCCGTAACAATTGGTAAGTGAGTTTTTAGTAACAATAAATTTTATAATTCCAAACATTTTTTTATAAATTAAAGTAGAAATACCCAAATTACTCGAAAATCTATTCTTAAAAGCTCGACCCGTAAAATAGTACAACAAAGTCATCATGCAGTTGCAAAAGTTGCAGTTGAGGGGCAAAAGTAAAAAGTTTTTTTTTAGTTTAGGAAAAAGTTGATTATATTGTATTTGTTATTATAAACGATGAAAGATTGTAATTATTTTAAAAGTTATAAATAAATGTATTTACATTTCTCCCATTTGTTTACAGTAATACCTGACTTGGTTCCTAATCGAACCAATTATTTGATTTGCAGTGACTTTAGCAACAAAAAATATAATATTAAACATATGATTATTATGACATTTATATAAACATAATATTTTTAATAATAATAAACTATATAATAATGCACTAGTTTTGAGATCGTGATATATCAGTAGTTACATTATTTATTATATTATGATCAGTCTTGACGAAATTAATATAGATATAGTAGTAAACCTGTATATAATTTTATTATACCTATTATATTTAACACAAGTTATTTTTTGAAATATATATTATTTTATTATTGAATTAAATCAGTTGAGATAACAGCTGTTAGATTTAAATTGTTATAAACATTTATTTTTTTAGATTTCATAAAATATCTTAAACATAGAGAAGTATAGGTACGCGACTTAATCATGATTGAAATAAACTAAGCCAACAACCGTTATATTAATATAATATGTACATTATGTACAGAAAATTGTAATAATAAAATACGAAAAACATATAATAATAATAATTCTGATAGATAAAGAACAGTTCAAGGCGTTTATTTTTACAGAATAAACATTTAAAAGAATATAATAGAAGCCGAACAAATCGTGGAATAAAATAATACGATTTTATTAAAAAAAAACATTTTTACAGTGCTGAAAGTACTAAGTAAAAAAGCCAAAAGTTTATACCGAAGAAAAATTATTCCACCCCACACCCCCTTTTAAAAGACACATTAACTTTGCTATCCATAAGCTTAACGAAAAAATTAGCTATTAAACAATAATATAGCAGGTAAGAATAAAAAAAGACTTAATCAAAATATCAAGATACGAGAATGAAAAACATAAAATTGTAAAATACTTTTACTTTTTTGTTTAAAAACATTATTTTACAGTAATTAAAAAAAAAATCATCCATTTACAGTCAATTGGTAGAAGAACAAATTGTTTAACATGGTCCCGTTACGTTATTTTTCTAACAGTATAAAAATAATTTTGAATTTTTAAATAAGTATATAATATTTTATATATATATATATATATAAATAGAAATAGAAAACACTTGTTAATAGATTGTTTGCAGATTACATTGTTATTTTATATTTTAACCTTTGGGGTTTAGCTCTGTTTCGAAAATCACAGTCAACTTTTCAAAAATTTAAAACTATTGGGAATGATGTAAATATATTTGGTAAGTTAAATATTTATTACTAAAATGTTCATAATATTTTTGGTATGTTTTTAACATTAGGTCAATGACAATAAATTAGAAAATACTATATTTTTGTAAAATAAAAGCAGAAATGCTGACTAGAAAACAAAAAGATAATTTTTTTTTAACGGTGAGGAAAAAATACTAAAATAAACGATTAATAATAAATAACCGACGATTGAAAAATTTGTACTCAGGAATTATAACAAAACTATTGTGTTGAGGCTGTTATTATTTCCGGCAATTATGTAATATTTTTTAATGGTTTATTATTTTATTAGTTAATACATGGAAGATAAAAATCGTAAAAATAACGTTAATGCATTAACAGGTAGAATACAACTTAATGTGAAATGTATATTAATTATAATATCTTTACATAATTAACTAAGTCTTGTGTAATTTTTTTTTTCTCGAATTAAATTACAATGTTTTAAACATATTTTTAATTCTTACCCACTGAATTCGTGTGCCCGTTTTATAAAAAATTATACGTTTTGCATAATCACGGTAAAATATAGCACTTAATTATGAGTTTTGATTACCGTTTTGACTAATTTCGAGGATTTTTAGACTTAGTAGGTATTTTTTGCTTTGGTTTTCTAATAAAATTACAAATTAACTAACAATTTTCTTAAAAATCTTTGGTCAGTGTTAAGCCCTTATTTTTTTTTGTACCCATAAAACTTAATAAACAACAATAACAAAAAAAAAAAAATAATAGTAAAACAAACTGCTAATAACGTTATATAGAACAAAGTTATATGATCAGTGATCAGCAACGAAATAAAAATGATTTTGATTAAACCAAAAATATTATTTTAACAAGAAATAGAATTATAGTAATGACTAAAAATAGCGTTCGTTAACGAGCGTGTATAATACAGTGTAAATTCTCCCCGACAAAAAAAATAGAATACCATAAATATATTATACTACATATATATATATCATACCGACAAATAACAATTGCAAAAAAATATATACGCTATGGGAAATGTGTAACGACTAAAGAGAAAAATCATGATAACTTGTTTTCAAGGTTCGCTTTGTTACTGGTAACATAAAAAAAAAATAAAATTGCATTAAAAAAGTTTCACTGGTTCGAGGAGGCCTGCAATAATAAACAACAACAACAACGCGATAAGAATATTACAAATATTATGATCTGCAATCGGAAAACCCGGGAAAGGACTTACCCGCTGTGCTTGCTTCATTGTGTGTGTCGAGCCCTTTTGGGCGCGGTCCCTCCGTCGGTGTCGGAAGAGTCAGTCGAAGAAATAGGAACATGTCGTTTCAGGCGTAGTGTAGTCACCCCGGAAGTGGCCATTTTGTCCAGCTGGGAGTTCCTGTGCAACACGACCACCGGGATTTGTCTTCTGCGCGTGCCGGCATCGTCGGAGGAGTCGTCGTCGCCGCCGTCGTCGTCACAGTCGTCGCCCTTGTCCAAATCCAACTCGCTACCGCTCACGTGACTCGTGTAACTGTCGTCGCCGTTGCGCCTTATCACTATTTTGGGCAGCTGTTGTCGGCTGTAACCGTTGTTGTTGTTGTTGTTGCTGCTGCTGCTGCTGCTGTTGCTACTGCTGCAATCCGAGTCCGACGAAAGTTGCCGTTTGGGACTGGCCGAGGCTCTTCTCAAAATCAGTCTCCTCACGCTCACCACCGACTTGGACGACGATTTACTAGGGCACGCGGCCACCTGCCATTCGCCCGGGGTCCGGCTCAGACGCACCTCCACCTTGGCCGGGCCCAACTCCAATTTCGTGTCCTCGGACCGGTCCAAGTTGAATATCCTTCCCCAGGGAAGCTGCACCTTGATCTTGCAACCGGTCACCACACAGGTGGTCGTGGCTTCGGAGTCCGCGCCGTCGGTGCTCTGCACGACTTTGTTTGGCGTCTTGTTACCGCCCTTCGTCGACCGGCCGCCGCCCCTTGCCCATTTTTTTCTTTTTTCCCTCAGTCTCCGCCTTCTCCTCTCGCCTATCCTGCGCGCCACCCATCTTATGTTGAACTTGTCCCTCAACCTGACCGGATTTCTAGTCAATTTCGATATGGTCCTGCGCAACACGCTCTTGTACTCGTTTTCCAACGACTTGTCCCAGAAATCTGTACTAGCTTCGTGGTTTTCTGCCTCGTCGTCACCGTCCACCGGAAAGTCATCAACCGGCGACGGTACCGGCGTAGTCGTCGTATAACAACAATCGAAACTATTCGAATCTTCATCACTTACAACAATACCGACGACGTTGTCGATATCCAAAACGACATTCGGTTCTTCTTCTCGGTCCGGCTTCGGTATTATCGTTTCAAAAAGCGGGGTTGTATTTGCCGCCGTTGTATCATTACCGTATGATGTATTTTCTGATATGTTTTCCGTATCATCACCACCCCCACGGCCGTCGACCTCTTTTCTGACGGACGGGTCGCCATTGTCATTTAGGTGGTCGACAGTGAAATGCAACCGAGGAGAAGCCGTTTGAATGTCCCCTACCGTATTATCTCGACGGTCATCGTTCCCCTTCAAAAACGTTTGCGCTGAACCGCACTCACTGGCACTCATCGATTTCTCTTGTTTCTCGGCCGACACCGGCGTCGATTCACTGTGGAATACATTTTTCCTGATCATATTTTTGCACTTCAACATGAATTTGATTCGTGGCGTTTCTACCTTGTTAAGGCGATACGAATCGTGACCGCGAGTAGTTTTAAACGTATCTTCTGGCTTCTTAGGGCCATCCGTTTTGTCCACTTTACCGTCGCCGACAATTTTTGCAACGGGTTCGCGGCCATTGTCGTTATAACCCACACAGGATTGTACGTTCTCGCGACTACTTTGAACCGCAATGTTTGTGATGGGGTTTTCGTGTTTTTGCAAGTAGTTTTGACTTATTAAATCGATATTTTTCTGTCCAGTATCTGATAACACGCCGTTGTTTGGTTCGACGGTTTTTTCATTGAACACTTCAATTTCATCCTGCTTGGTGACGGGCGAGGTAGACTCGACGCAGTTTTCTTTTAATGGTGATACTTCATCAGTCAATTCTTTCGGATTGCTTTGAGGCAAAACGCTGGTCGTTGTACTAGGAAGGGTCACAATAAGTTGATGAGTCGACACCGCTCTGGTATTAATCGGTTCACTACAACCTTCGGATATGGTTCCAAAGTCGTTGTCATTAGGCATACTATTGTTGTCGATTTCCATATTTTCCTCGGTAAGAATCAACTCATTCTCCTCTTCGTCTAACGATTCTAGATGTTTGTAAATCATTTCTAATACGCGTTTTCCCTCCAATTCAGCTTCTTGCTCGTCGAATAAGTGCACATCGTCGGAACTTTCAGCGCTCTCTTTGGATTCCGTTTCCGAAGTGTCAAACGCATCTTCACAAACGGAATTCGTAGAAGTTAGTGCCAGCGGTTTTTGCGTTGAATCTACATTGAAAACAGCGGTGACATCACCGTTTAATTCGGCCATGTCTTCTTCATCTGTGCGGCCGGGAGACCGGACGACTGGACTTTTCAAAGGCGAGTGTAACGCCTCCGGCGGACTGATAGGTTCCCAATTATCACTATCATCACTCCGTTCTTGTTCACCGACATTACTGATCTCAGGCGAATTGGTTTTCACATGCATTAAGGGTTCGTCGTTCGAAACACTATGTTCCACCAGAATATTTTCCGAAACGGTGGTTTCAGTTTGTGTTTTCACTATTTGCACTTCTTCTGAATCACATTTACTACTCGCTCGGTCGTCCACATGATCTTCGTAGAGCGAGGCGTGATTCGTACAAGGTGACGCTACATTGACGGAATAAATATTTTGACTTACACTTTTGTTATTACAACGCACGAATTCGTGGATTTCAATAACTTCATTTTTGCTTTCAATGCTCACTACGTTTATGTTGGTTTTTAAAATGTTCGGAATGTCATTTCTCAGGACCGTGTTACACTCATTGTCTTTAATTTCATTATCCAATTTCTTATTACCAATTTTCATTTCATTTGTTGTAGAGTTTATAGGTGCTAAGTCCATAGTCAAATCGATTTCTTCAGTAAGGTCATGGACTTCACCAGTTTGTAACGAATCTGTGGATGCATAATTACTTTTTGCGTAGCTGTCTAATTTATAGTTACTATTTATTTCGTTTAAACAATCCAAAGGCATAGGTTTTTTTACTGAACGGGACTCGTTATTGTTATCGGAGTAATTTATCTCTAAAGAACTTTTTGGGGTAGTATCGCTGAAATTAAAATGTTTGTTGTTTTTATTGAAATTATTAAGATTTTCAATCATACATCTCGTATCAGATTTCAGTATAGTATGTGGATAATCGTCAAGATTTTCGATTTGGTGATTTACTTTATCTGAACGAAAATCAGGAAGTGTACTCCGGACTTCGGCTGGGCAACGGAAATCGTTTGTGTCTACTGTTTTATTATTACTCGTTATCTGTGAACCTATTTCAGTTTTGTTTTTATTCTCGTCCAAGATTTTTTTTAACAAATAACCAGACTGGAAATCGCAATCGTAACTAGCATGAGCGATATCGTTGGACGTACTTGTCATATTCATAGAGCCATCGTCGGTTGAACTGGGCACACTGACGTCGTTTTCACCGATTTGATCTTTAACTCTTTCCTCTAAACATTTGTCTACAATTCTCTCGTGAAAAGAATCACTTGTCCGCGTATGACAATGTATGTCAAACTCAAAAGACGTTTCAAATTCATCCAACGTGTCCCGGTATTTCTGATCGTTGACTTTGGAGTTGTCCAAACAACAATCTAGAAAATCGGCCGAATCGATTTTTTCACCTTCCATCATTTTGTTCGCAGTCAAATCGGTAGAACTAAGAGATTCTTGTAGCGCAGTGTCTTTAATCTGTTGTTGGCTTGTCATTACGACGGTCGGACCACTTCTGTTGTGGGTCTCTTGATGAGCATTTCTGAACTGAGCAGCTTGAACATCGCACTGAACGGTGGGCATCGTAGAGTGAACGGGATGATCTTTAAACGCGTACTTTTCCGACCACATGTCATAATGGTTGATTTGCATGTTGTTTTTGAATTTAGACTTTAAATCCGAGTGTTCTACATGATTTGACGACGAATTTGTCCTTATACAATTATCCATTCTACCAATATCGTTGTTGTCGACACACGGGTTGTAGTTCTTCATCTTTTGTTTAATCACCGTGTACATTTGGCTAGGATCTCGCAGTATAGGTTTTACGACGTTGAGTTTTGGTGGCATTGGCATAGGCGCCAACGGGTCTTTTTCTTTGAAACTGGGTAATCCAATTAAATCACATTTATGCGATTGGTCGTGTTTTAATTTGGTCGGATCTGTAGCGGGCATTGAAGTTTTTGACTCGGTCAAGTGCTCAAAAATGGAACCATCCGTTCGGTGCTCGCTGTCTTCGGACGGTTTTTTAGGTTGCGTGTAATCCGGCGGATGGTTAGCTACAAGTAATTCGAAACTGTCATTGAAATCCGGTATTCGATTGTTCAGATTGAAAACATCCCGAGAACATTCACTGTTCGATGTCATTTGATTAGAATCTGAGTAAGACGACGACGACGATGATTCTTTTGGCAAAAGTAACATTTTATTTTCGTGCCCAGAATTAATGTCGTTCTTGTTCTCTAGGGTAATTACTGGCAGAGGAGAAATTTGTTTAGTGAACAACGAATTGCTCGTCGTTTCGTTATTTACATTTCTATGGTCGATTTTTTTATCAGAACCACTGGTGCTCCCGTAGCTTTCAATAAAATTCCAACTATCAAAAAATGGATCGTGACTATGATTGGTTTTGTTACTGACACTTGGGTCCACGCAAGGCGCATTAGTCTTCCATTGCGCAGGTGCGCCATCTTTATTTGAATTGATACTGTTTAACATATTACTGTAAGTGGTCTTGTCATATAAGCAAGACGACGTTTCTTCGGCAGGGTTATTAGTTTTCATAATTTTATCGAGATCATTAGTTAAGTTCCAATTCATGTTTTCAAAGTCTGTATGGACTTCGGCTTTTTCATTTCTATTTTTATCACAACCGGTTCTTTGTATTACGCTTTCGTGATATCCATTGTACTCTTGTCTAGTTATGTGAGGCGATACGATAACTGGAAAATTTCTGTTACTAGACTCCGAATGATGGCCTGAAGTCTGTTGCACAATAGCGGCAGATGGTGAATAGTTATTATTGTTTGATGGCTGTTTGTTGAACTGGGTAGTGTTAGGCAAGTTATTAGGTTTGTCTCCGATTGATGTGTTCTTTTCAAATGAAAAAGGATTGCCTTTAGTTTCGTCTGTAAGAGACGAAAAATCTAACGGCTTAATAATAACGCTATGGTCGTATAAGGACATGTTCAAATGTTGTTCTTGAGTACTTTGACCCATTTCCCAGTTACTTGATTCTTGACTTTTATTATTTAAATTAGGCCATTTTTTGTTTTCGTTTTCGACAATGCAAGAGTTTACGTTATTATATTTGATTGCAGAGTGTTTGCTGTTATTGTCCATAAGTATGGAAGGTTTGGTTCTAGAGTTTGGGTTATCAACATAACTATTTTTAGACACTGCATGAGAATCATTAAGTTTTTCAGGACGTTGATGGTAACTAAACATTTGTTGGTTTTCATTGTATTTTGTAGAACATCTCACATTATTTTCCACAGTACGATTGGGTTGAGTAATTTGATTCGTGTAATGTGGCGCTCCGTATAAAGCCATTTCATTTCCTTGCGTTTTGCTCAAGTTAAACATCCTGTCAGCCAATCTTTCAATAAGATCTGTGGACGAAATATCTGAATTTTTTTTACCATACCAACCGGCTATATCATCAAAATTATTATTTTGATAATTTTTCTCCGATTGCTTCATCAACTCTGGTTCTTGTTTCTTCTCAGTATTAAATGGTTTAATTATCCCGGTTTCACGTTTAGTGTAATCGATAGGCTCAAAATTGGATTTTGAAGGTTTAGATGTTTTTGACACGGTATCAACTTTATCTAGTTCCGTATTAAGGATCAAAGAGTTTGGATTTTCTTTAAGTACTTTTTCTAGGCTTTCATAGGTTACGACGTTTAATTTTTCTTGTACTTTAGCTAAAGCGTCTCCTTCCAATGTCATACAATCAAGTACCACAATAGGAGCAGACGGCTCTGAAGGTTTTTCACTAGTTTCTTCTTCTCCTTCATCCCACGTAGCTAGAAATTCACGAACATTTAACTTGCTTTTTGAAGAATTCGCCGGTGCAGCGGTCTCAGTTTTATATATCTCGTTAGGTTTGCGAGTGTTTGGATACGAAACAGGTTGAGTATTGTAATATTGTTGCATACTTGAAGGAATTTGATTAGTTTGAGACGGTATAGGCATTCTAGCGTTATTTGTATGAGATTTGTATTCTGGCAGATTGCTTTTGAATACATTATGGTAAACTGGTGGCCGATAGTCAAGTACCTCGTGAATAGGAGGCGGTGGCGGCAGCATATAATTGTAGGGTTTATGATGCGTCGAAACACTTGTAGGATTGGAGTATGGAATGTTTTGGTAGTTCGTAGGTAGTCTTGGGTAATTTTTTTCTCTGCCAACTTCATGAGGTACCACGCCACCATAGGGATTGGTGGAACGCAACCTGTCCGACCAATTAGCGTTAGCCGTAGGTGGGATCCATAAGTTATTGTTTGAATGGGTAGGTGGAGGAGGGCCATAACTAGAATTACTTATATAGGAATTGCTATATTTATCTGGATAACTATTTTGTGTACTGTATTTACCGGGTAAATCATTTGGAATGTACGGTAGGAACTGTTCAGTGCTTGAAGATTTTAATTGTTTTTTTGGCTTATGAGGCCTGTTTACTTGCTGAGCTGCCGGTCGACTAGGGCCGTACAAAGCTTGAGGTGGTGACGCTTTTGGAATGTTTTGTGTCCTAATTCTGCAACACGGTTGACAACATTGCGACGATACACTTTGCCCGTACATGTTAGCAGGGGCATATTGATTATTGGCTGGCGGATATGGTGTTGGAAAATCAAGATTATAATATCTAGGGTGAAAGCCGTATAACTGTTCAAGTCGATGATTTGAATTCCACGGGTGGACCAAAGGCGCAGAGGGCTCAGTAGAAACATGAGTATTTTGAATTGGGGCGACGACATTATGAGGAGGGACGTGTGCAGATGGACAACTTGTGTTCTCATAACTTACTTGTCCATCCCTTAGACTGTTTAACATCACTCCTCAGGTGATCAACAAATGCTATTAAAGAAAACAAATTACAATTATTAACAAATATTAAACGAAACATGTGAATTCATAGTTTATTTACTTATAACCGCCGTTCTCGACAGATAACTTTAACAATTAAGTACAGTTTAACTATAATACAGTTGTAGACTAAACTCCACTTAAATGCTATGCCAACTTCCAAACGGGTGAGAACGGTCATAGATAAATTATTCAATGGTGTTATTATTACAAATGTGGGTAACCTATTTTTTTTACTATAATATAATTTTCCAGAGTTACATAATAGTTATATATATTGTAATGGCTTATGAAATAACCTGCTATCCATGTACATATATATATATATTCCATTTATTTTTTTATTAAGACCTGAATGAGAAATACTAGCGTAAATTAAAAAATTTGTATTATGCAATTTTTTTGCATTTTTCTAAATTGATCATTAAACAAACAGTAAAATGAAAAATACGTTAAATAAATGAAACTCCCGTAAGATTTTAATTTAAATCGACGTGTCACTAATCCTTCAAAAATAGCGGCGATAATGATTATTTTGAGAAAAATCCAGTGGCCCCTTTTTTTGTAAGATAATTTTTCGGAAATTCCACGCTATGGTTTTATTTTATTTCTGATGAAAAAACCCGGACCAACTAAATTTAAGATAGAAAACCAATTCTAAAATATCTATTTTAGGGCCTCCTGCGTAGTAAGTCATCCATAGAGTGTGACATTAGGCTATCCGCTATGGTCTATATTAATTATAATTTCAAGGGTTAAATAAATGATATTATATACATATAATAGGAATACAGATGACGATAAAGATTTGCATTGTGCCACAATAAAAATCAAGGAATCTGCTGCTATATTTCGATCAAAAAATACCTAGGAACTATTTTTTTTTTATAAAAACTATTTCGCTTAACTATAGCAACTAGTTATGAACAAAGTATTCGATTTCTTAATAACGGTTATGAAAAATTTGTTTACTATTTCGGGTATAATACTTATTTTTAAATGTTTCAATAATTAACAACGGCCGACGTGAAATACAAAGCACGGTATTGGACAATAAAAATATATAAAATATTCAGTTATATTAACGTTATAGTTTTGGTTAATCATAGGTATTAAAACATATTTTATAATAGGTATGGCGAAACAGAAAACCTATAGACACCACCGCTGTGTTATTTGAGCAAAAAACTTTCGATATACCCCATCATATTTCCGTTTCTATGGAACAATCGATAAACATAATAACACAACTTTTGAACCCATACACAAAAGCCAGCCCAATGTGTCCCAGCTATATATATAGTCTAAAATACAACAATTTCAATCGCATTAAATATTTCGTGTTTACATTGTCGTTTGATTTTTTTGCCCGACAATGTGTTTTTATAAGTACTTCTTTAATGACATTTTCACGTTACGCATACACCGTCAATTGTCAAGAATGTTTTGCCAAATACTCTTGACTAAAACTGTTAGGTTAGCCGATACAGTTTTATCAAAATTATATACATACATACATAAATAATATATATGTGTATAAGTGTGTGTGTATGACAATAGTGTGAAAAAAACTTCTAAAGCGTTTAATAACAATCCAACACAATACGCGTATTATTGTAATAAAAATATTAATATTTAGCACTGATTATAATTATAATTATTATTATTATTATTTCGAACCTCGTGTAGTGTATTGTTGGCAAACAAGCGACGGTGTACACAGTTATGCAAATAAAAAAAATTTAAAAAAAGAGAACAAGATATACATACATAAATATATATATTTTATTTTTTGCCAGCTGTTACACACAGCCTAAACGCAGTTTGGTAGAATATAAATTTAAAAATTCAGGTGTTGCGCAAAACATGTTTCACGTAGAATAAAAGAACGTTTTCAATAGTTTTCGCAAAATGACAGTTTTTTTTTAATACATTTTAATATAGTTTGGCTTGTATTTTCTTCGTGGTAAGGTAACGTAAACACTAATTAGGCTTATGAAATAGCGCTAACTATAATAATAATAAATACTTAAAAACGTGTATGAAATATAGTATCTACTAGGTATATTTCACATAATATCTATGTCGAATAATATAGAAATGCTATTGGGAAGAGCGACGAGTGCACGTTTAATATTTTAACTATTATATAAAATCACTTGAACTAGACACAAATATTATATCTGTAAATTGTAGTACCGTATATTTGCATTTGCATTTTTTAAATATACATTCAAAGCCAACTAAAAAAAAAAAAAAAACCACGGTTTATCAACTTATTTAAGTTATCTAATAAAATATAGTTTTTCATCGGTTTTCATATTGGGTTATGTTATGAAATATAATTGAGAATTGGAAAAAAATTAATATAATATCTACACAATATTTTATAGTAGATTTTTTTTTTGGTTATATAACAAATCACGCGAACATTTGTATTGAATTAAATTCATATTTGTTAATTTTAAGTAAGCACCTAATATCAATAAGATGATATTAATAATATTTTAATTTAAAAAAAAACGATTGATTACAGATTTTTATACTTATGACGTGTCGACAACATACTATCAAAATGCATAGTTTTTAATTATTATTATTATTTCATAATACTATAAGGATCAATAAGTGTAATAAAAAAAATGATAATAATATTTTTTATCGAAATAATTTTTATTTTGTTTTTGTCAGAGGTTAAAACTATGTAAAAAAAAAATAAAAAAGTTTGTAAAATATTTTTTATAACATTATTATTATTATTATTGTTGAAGCGTACTCACTCAAACAACATATGCAATATGTTAGTTGGCTTCGGTAAACTATATTAAATAAAATGTATATGAACAAAGTAAACGTAAAGTGTACGTCGGTAACATAAAATTAAAAAAAAAAAACTAAGTACTCAAGAACCTAATGTCTATTATATAAACCCCTAAAAATCTTAGTTCTGGTGGAAATTATTAATCATGCACAAATTAGTAAGCTAATGCAATTAATTAGACAGGGGGATGTAAAATGATGACATTTGATCATAATATATTTTAATGGCAATTACAATTATATAAGTACTTATTTGTATCCGTAAGTTGGTTCTAAAGAGGTCAATATCTCAGAGGCCAAGAAGGGAGTTGATTCGACAACCGAATTCTCCGGGGGAGGTGAAGAGGTGTTGCGGGGGGAGACCTTATCAATTTTTTCAATACAGAACGCTTTTCGAGTATACTGTTTTTATGTTTACTATCAATTCGTTTTAAATTTTACAATTTAACCCATTTCCACATGGGAGGAGGGGGCGTTCAAAAACGTTTTGCTGCTTTTAAAAAGTTTAAGAACCACTGATTTAGATATTAAAACGAATGTTATCCAAGTGCAGGCGCTCACAGTGTTATTGACAAACTAACACGAATCGAACACGTTTTAGAAATATTTTTTTGAAAAAATAACTGTAAAAAAATACGCACACTATTCTATAACAGCATAGGTATTGCTTATTATAAATGTTGTTTTTTTCACTTCGAAAAACTTATTTTATAACTATTTCAATCCATTACAAATGGATAAAAAAATTGAACAGTGAACAATCGTTTAGCGTTTTAATATTTTAAATAATACCATAGATTATATAATATAATATATATTTAATCTATGGTAATACTAAGCTATTTAAATAGACCCAAAAGAGTACATTTTTTATAAAAACAAAATCGTTGGCATTTTAAGAAGAATAAATTGAAAAAATTGCATATTCGCAGTTTATAAAGTTTCGATTTTTTCGGTCAGTTCTTTTTTTTTTTAATATTGAAATCACAGACCTTGAAAATAGGCTTTGTTGACGATAAAAAAAAGAAAAAAATTCGTCTAATAGATGAACAAATTATCAGAAATACTATTTTTTCACTTAACAAATAGCACATATTAACGTTATATTAGATAGTAAATGGCAAAATGGGGTTGAATGGAAATGCATTTTTATTGTAGACCAGAAGTTTGGTGTGAAAAAAAAAATTCAAATAACTAGAATACTGTTTATACTATTTATATATAATATAAGCCTCTCAGCATGATCTCAGCATATAAAAAAAAAAAGTGTACAAGAAACTAAAAGCTTTATAAAAGCTTACTGCTAAAACCATTTACGGCATACAAGTTGAGGAACTCTGGGATTTTATTTTGGGCACCCATGACTATAAACACATTTTAATTTTGATGACTTCAATGAAATCAAATAAAGTTGTTTGAGATATCTTTTTTGAATGCTCTGTTTTTGTGTTTAAAAGGAGAGTTTCTAATTATTTGAAAATTAACCTAATTATTATATTCTTTTAAAAAAAATATCCAAATTAATAAATTAATTTAGCGCACAAAACTCGAACCTCATATTTTACTATTTCTTAAGTTTTTATGTAACAGATATTTTGAAGAAAATGTTTAGACTTACATATTTAAACTCTTTAAATTATTTTAGCAGAAACATTTTAGTATTTTTATTTGTATTGCAGGACTGATTTGCTGGACTCAAGTATAATGTCCTTTCACAATCCATACAATTATAGTTCACACATTATATTGTATATAAATACAATTAATATTATTTTGTCATGCAAAGTAGTTAGCATAATACAGTATACTTCTACTATAATAAGGATCATCAAAAATATGTTTGGCGGCTAATTAGGTACCATTTGAAGAACATTAAATGTTCATACTGTCCTTAACTCCTCAGACGATAACCAAAATATTTAGTAATTAGGAAACAAAATACAAAACTCTAAATAAGTAAAGTAGTATTAATAGTAATTATTTTACAATCAGCATAAACGATAGAAATAACAGTAAACTGACTTAACGATAGATTTGTTAGGTAATATGTCTAAAAATTAAAGTATTTTTTTTGGAAAATTTGTTGCTCCGACAGGTTAATTATTTTTAAAGATTAATACTAAAAACCATTAATAGTTGGTAATTTAGACAAATTGATGATGATAATAATAATAATAATAATAATAACTTAAAATAAATCTTGTTCAGAACAACACCTAGTTACAATGATACTTAGTCAAAATGACTTACTACGAGGTTATGGATTGATGTTTATACGGCGATCAAATATTTAGGGATTTGGCTATAATATTATACTACAGTTAAACTTGTCCAAGCTGGACTCTGGTAAAGTCGGAAAACTGTATAAGAAGGAATTTGGGTATTGTCCCGCCAAACGGCTTAACATAGTGTATATTTTGAATAACCTATAAGATGGCTAACTACAGAACAAATTTACTTTACTGAGCATATTTTTTTGTGACATTATAGTGTTTCTTACACTAATAACAAATTTCTAGTCAAAATTCTGTCGACACCTCTTTTTCAAATAGTATCAACTATGCTAATTAATCAAAAGATTCCGAGAATAGGGATCCTAGCTCATACACATAACGATAATGGCAACGACGATTGCAGTCGCACGACTGTACATACACCGAGCATGTCCGTCGAGGAAATGTCGCTATACGAATCGATACGGTCGCACAACGACACACACGTATGGCAAGTGGTGGATTGATTAGCAGAACTTATATTATTCATTTTTTTTTTTTTTTTATTAGAAAATACAAGGCACTCACCTGCTGTGCGCGGTAGTATTGGTCATTCCAAAAAGCAGAGGCGACGGTCACTGGAGGAACGTCCGGTGTTGGTTTCTTCAATGTTGTCGTCGCAGACGGTTGTGCTCGGATTGCCGGCAGCCGTCGTGCATGGCTGGAGAAATATATTTTGTTGTTTCTAAAAGGGGAAAAGGGTTCTAAACATATAGGTAGGTACAAGAGTATAATATTTCAAAAAAGGGTAACACGACACACACACGCACACGAAAAACGGTTTGATAACACTAATCTTTAACCCTTTTCTGCCCTTTATTTTTATTTTTATTTTTTTCACCAAATTTTGTCACACGCACACACGGGCGTGCACGTACACACACACATATGACACACTACGGGGCCAAATATGATAAGAAACGGTTGTGGCCATGACGAGAAAAAAAAAAAAACAATAACAACGCGTACGGCATGCGTCCCCACCACAAACGGCAGCTCGACACTGGCACATGGGCGCTATCTGCTAGCATAAGATAATTGTTATTGTTATTAAATATTAATACATATCATTATTTTGATTCGTTTCGCGTTCTAAATATTTGCGACTGGACAATTAATGTAAAACGGCAAAACTACCAAACGGCACGGATTAGATTTTTATCTAATCTCCACAAGTGTAGTATATACCACTATGTCGGGCTTGAGTTGTCAACGTTCCTGTGTTTCAAACGAAGAATTAGTTGCCACCATAATCCATAATATTATGATTAAAGAAAGTGGCGTCCATCATATACCGACAATAATATTATGTCGAACTGAAGGGGTTGCGCTTCGTGAAATTAATAAGTGTGATGGGTGGGTCGAATGTTACAGGGAAAGCGACGCTGTTTGTATAACCTATACTACGGTATCGAAAAAAATAGATTCCCAGTGGTCGGTGTAACGGAAATCCGAATTTCGGGTCATAGAATCTACATAATGTAGATATTTTATTAGAAAAATTGAATAGTTTATTTTAACTAATAGTTTTATACTGCACGACCAAATTACACTTTTGTAAATCTATTTCTCGTTAATACCATCGATTACAGTATTTATAATCAATGATAATGCTAAAAATGTAAAAACATTTTATTGAACCAGTTCAAACTTAACATTAAAAAATTAACCGATTTCTTATTTTGCATAAAATCAAAAATAATCCTTGTAAATAATTAATAATTAATTGTAATAAGCTAGATATTACATTTACTTTGGTTTTTTCTAGATTGTAATAATTAAAAAAAACTAAGTAAATAGTAATTTCTAGCTTATTTGTAATTTCGATCAACTTGTTCATTTGGATACTCTTTAAATAGTTTTGGGCTTGTACGATTTTGTTTATTGACAATTTAATTTATAACCAAACTATAAAGAAATATGTTTTCTATCATGCTAATATCTAATAAAAAAAAAAATTTTACTTCATAATCGAGTCCTTTTTCTCTCTCGTGGTGTTTCCTAAAATAAAAAAAATAAAACACATTTAAATAATATTACTCAAATTGTCTGCTAGTATTGGCAGAAAGGAGTTGTTTGTGATTTATAAAATAAGTATTGAGATAGTATTTTCTTTTATTTCCAAGTCTTAAGCACCCTCACTGATATTGCAAAATTGTGCCCTTGCCGTAAGAGGTTTTGAAGATGCATTAATACTTTTAAAAAGTGCTATTCAAACATTTGAAATAATATTATGTTGTGTTTCTCCTTACCCATACTTTAACATTGTAACCTACATTTTTTTTTAAAGCATTTAAACAAAAGCAAAAAATTCAAAGAACTATTTTTGATTTAAAGAAAAATTTAATAAAATATATTATAAATTATTTTTACAGTAAAAATGTACTACGCTCAAAAGAATGATAAGCCTAACAAATGTAAAACATTATAACAATTAAAATAGCAATACTTTGCACGAAAGCTAGCACATTTCAATTTGCCAATGAAAATCGTATATCAGCATGAATACACAACAATTGTTTTCTTTGTTAAGCAATTGAAACGTGCTAGTTTTTCAGTGTCATAACATTAATATTATACTTTGAATCGTTCTTCGAATAATGGAAGCTCGGCTAAGAAATCCGTGATGGCGTTGGTCATCGTGTCTTGAGAAGTGTAATCCGACATGGTCTGTACGCAAAGCTCGAAATTATGCTTATTAAATGTGGTTGTTTGTAACCAGAAAATAGTACATTCAGGGTATTGAGTAATTTGTTGAAAACAAAAATAACATAACATTAAATTTAATTAAAAACCTTTGACTGTTATCAAAGCACCTGTAATTTATCATAATTCCTGATCACGTTTCCTATTGTATGATCTTCCTTGTTGAAGGTAAATATGGCAGCATTTGTATCTTTAGTGTCGGCTTCTTTTATGATACTGAAAAAAAAGACAATATCGAATTTTACAAATTATATTCCAGCAAGTATAACAATATTACAACTTTATTAATAAATTGTATAAAACTGGTGATTTTAATACTTACTTTTTTCCACCGTCGTACAATAAAAATGATTCGAAAGTCGGAGGAGCGTTCATCTTTAAATACTGTAAGTATTATTATTTATAAAGGTGAGTAAAAAATGAGTACAAAAATATATTATTCAATTTCAATTTTCTTTGGTGTTTTTGCGACAAAAAAACCGTTCAGTTTAAAAACACAATCTCGATATTTTGTATCATCAGCTTATCAAAATACACATTTTTATCATCACAACACACGTTTTGGTGTGATAATAAACTCAACCTTCTAATGTCTTTGGTATTTCCCCTAGCAGCATTCTAGAGAAAAACCTTTTAAATGATAGAAAATCAAAAAACATATTCATTTATCATCAAAAGCATAAATTTGATTACTGTTCAATGTTGCATAATATTTTCGATTATACAAAATAGTAGAATCAATCAAATTTTGTACAAATAGATAAAATAAATGTATTTCAAATTGTCATAAGTTCCACATTTATAAAAATAAAAATTATTCAGGTTAACTATAAACCATTAAGTATAGATATATTCTATTTTAAAAGATCTTGTTGTATAATACTGAATATAATTTAGTAATTTTTCTTATTATTAATAGGTTCATTTTCTGTCATTACTGCAGGTACATTGTCCATACAGTATTCTTCATTATTTGTATAAACCATTATTATTTTACTTCATTACCTTATCCTAATCATTGTTTTTTAATTTTGTTCCGTTTTTGCTCACATCAGCAATTAATTTATCTTTTTACTTTTCACTTTTAAACTTATTATTTATTCGATAATATTTTATATAGCTTAATAATTCATAAGTAGGTATTAGTATGACACATTAACACTGACTTCTCTGTTGTTAAATTCATTTGACGTGTTATAGAAAAATTTAAATCTCAAATTATTATTTTAAGTTTTTAAACCTTTCAAATTGCGTCATCCTGTTATAACCGGTTCGGTATTGGTAGAATAGTAGGTAAGAGTTACGCTTTTTTTACATTAGAGATAATGTGTATAATAACAAGACTACCAATTTGTTTGAATTACCATTCAAAGATATATATTACAACATCATTTAAAAATAATAATTTATAATAATAAGATAAGTTAAAATTACAATATACACATGAACATAAAAAGGAAAAAAAATATATATATATGTTTATAGAGATTTATAACTGTGAATAAAATAATTTTAACTATAAAACAAAAAAAAAAAAGTTCAACTGCTAATAATATAACAAAAAATTTTCCCAATAAATTTTTATACTTTCAATATGGATAAGACTTGTAAAAAATTGAATACATATCAAATACAGAAATATATAATAACGTCTTCCGTCCTCACTATTATCATCTAGTTAAAAGTCATCGGATTGAAACTAATTTATGAAAAAATTACACATTGGATTTATGAAACTCACAAACTCATTAAAAATTTGTTTTACACTATAGTAACATTTGGAAATTGCTTTTAAAACATTTTCTACAATACAACTAATACTAATTCAATGTTCAATGGAGATCATTGTTATACAACTTTTTTTTATTCAAATGTAATCATTGAGATATTACGCTATAATATAGAAACTGGTTTTTTTAAAAACAAAAATAAAAGCCTTTATATTGAATGACATATACAAATTCACATATACAACAAGCGCATAAATAAGTATTACAGGCACATACACCGTACGCGTACGTAACATAAGTAAATAAATTAAAGTTTTCCTATATATATATATATATATATATATATAGAAATATACATATATAAATTTAAAAAAAGTAATAATAAAACATGCTAAAAGTCTATACAAAAAAATATATATATTTATATATATATATATATATCATTATCAGCTAAATAAGACTAGAATACAAAAGTATAATGTTTATTCAATAAGTCAATAAAGGAAAGTTACGTTAATTTGAAGAAATAATGGCGTTAACGAAAAAAGTTCAGTTCTTTTAAAAAATATAAAAACTATTTTTGGCTTTAGTATGAAAAAAATAAATGTACAGAAAAAAGATTGATGTTAATTAAACATTTTTTGACTACCGTGTTGATTATTAAAATAAACAAATTTGGTTATACGGTTGAATAGTTAACAGTAATGTTTTTTTATTAAATTATTTTCTATTAAAAAAAAACACTATATATTAAATCAATGTAATTGATTTTTTTTTTAATTTTCATTTTTCACTAGAGAGATCATTAAAATAAAAATGTCATCAATTATCTACAATATGTTTACACAACTCTCTTCATGACTTTTTATGAACATTAAGTAAATTTAGTAAATTGTTGTTAAAAATTTTAAAAAGAATATTAATATTGCACATTATAATCGAAAACAAATGTCATCAAGACGACTTTGTGATAATATTTCATAATTGTCTGTGCTAACACTTGGAAATTAAAACTGAATTCAATACCTACTTATTGTAAGGGATATACATTTTAATTTTAATAAAAAAAATCTCACTGGTTACTTATAGCTACATGAAGGCTTACAGTCTTCCGCGGCCAAAGGTTTTTTTTTGCCACTCCAAGGTGGCGTGAGTAGGTTAGAAGGAGTAACTGGACCTTTATTAACCCTCGATAGTTGAATTAGCTCAAACCTGCTTTGGGCCAAATCCTAAAACCAAACAATAACATATTAATTTTACTGTCATACATTTTGACAACAATCTGATAAACGTGTAGTGTGAGTGTTTGTGTACTTACATACATATCCATACTGACTAAGTGTTGTTGTTTGACGTGAGTGCCGTCGACTTGTTCAGAGTCTCCTTCAAAGTCGATCTCTTCGTATTGGTATTCTTCGAGAATTACACTCCAATATACTGACATCCAATCGACACAATTGCTAACATTTCCTTCAGAAAGACCTGTAGATATTTAAAACAAATTAAATTAGCAAGCCGCAAAATTAATTAATAAAGTCCGGTGACATAGTCGTATGAGTATACACCGTGTGTATTCCTACGTGTCTACAACTGTAAGCAAACAAAAATAATAACTCACCGGAAATGGTCAGGGCGATTTTTTTGTTGAGAACGATGGTGAGTGCTGACGCTGCTAGTTCACTGTACGAGTAACGTAAGCTGTTCGAATCTAAAGTGGCCAAGTCCAAAAGGTGGGCCACTTGATTGAATAAATTTTGCGGAAATTGAGGTAATATCAGACTATCCTCGGATGTGCTGTCGTCGACACAAATAAACTGCAACATCAGTTCCACCCAGTAGTTGATGGAAACCGGCGTCAGGCGGAAACGCAAGTTCATCAATAGGATTTTCTCCATATCCAGGAGATCGGCATCAGTGCATGCGCCGTCGGTAACATATGCGAATTCGGCTACTTTGGGTGGATATATCTCTTCCATTTTGGCGGCCATGAATAAACAAGTGATTCCGATGAGTTGCAGCTTTTGCTTTGGGATTGCATCACTATTGGAAAGGTATCTATCCAAGTAGTCCATGGCCAGATAATAGGTCTCTCTATGAAGCTTGTACACAGACGACACCTCTATTAACCAGTCCAGAAGGATAGCCCTCATTCGTGGCATAATAAAGTTTTGATATTCGGGGAAATCGACATTTCTGTATGTTAGCGTTGCGGCATCCCGATCGCAGAGCATCTGCCAATAGGAAGCGCGCTTTCCCCACGGAATCTCCGGCAAAGGACAAGGCCTATCGTTCAGAGCTACCGGTTTGTGGTTAATAGCCAAGTCTCGGAATCTAATAACAATAAAAATTATATGTAAGTTTTCCAATTTTTTGGCAGAATTACTAAAAGCCAGTTATAATATCGCCTTTAAACTTACTTGCTCCAAGTATTGATCATGTTGCTACCGTAGTTTTCTTGGATCGTCGAGTAACGTGGAGTGGGTACATAAGCTGGTGGATCATTTTCGATATTTTTCTTTGGTTCAGAACTGTTGATACAGTCGGGGCTGAGCTCGTTGTCGGACAACAATGGAGTAGGTTCGCTGAGAGCAGGGCTGCTGACGTCTGATTCAGACCTATAAATATTTAAAAAAAATCATAATAATCATCAATAAGTTCTTGAAACAATGGTTAATTTCCTATGTAATTTACCTATCATCGGAATGATGCGATGAATTGGAATCGGGGGATAGCACTTTTAGCTCAGACAGAGGACGTCGCTCTACACTTCCGTTATTGTTACCGATGAGATGTTGGAATGTATCATTGTTGTTTTCAGAATTGATGCCCAACTGATACGAGTCTGAGTCGGCTCTCACTCTGGAGTTGCGTAAATTGGCGAGAGACTGATATTCTACACTTTCTGTCGGCAACGGTTGGGATGCACTGTGCAATTTGGATCTTGACAGAATATTAGGTAGTTCAATTGGACTGTGTTCCAATTTCATTCTCTTGCTAGACATTCCGACATTCTGGAGGTAACCTTCAGAGTTCTAAAAATGGAATAATCATTCAAACTATTAATATTGTTTAACTATCAAACTTCAGGTTAAATATTATATATTATACTTCTTAATTTTTTAAGAATGTTGTAATTATGTTATTTTAACAACATAATTACTATACTAATCATAAATGTTATTTGTTATTTTAATAACTACTAAGTGTTTTATTAAAAAGCATGCTAACTATCAACTTAATATTCAAAATGTAATAATTATTTGATCTCTTACATGTCTCTTTCTTTTTAAAGCACCATCATTATTGGATGAACTGGCGTCATTCATTGTAGTTATTAGTGTTAATATGACAAGTCAAAATCTGGAAAACAAAATAATTAGTTAATTATACATTATTAGAATATTACAAAGTTATTTGTATTACACCAAGCAAATTTAACAATCGTTAAAGTAACTTGTAGTTATATATACATTATTTTCATAGCCAGAAATTTCAACGTCTTACAAATAATGATAATATTTACAATATTGGTAAAATATTGAGACAACATTTTATAATCAAATATGACATCAATGACAAAAATATAAGACCTTAAGTTTCAAGCCAAAAAAATGATAATAAAATTAAAATTTTTTTTTTTGCAAACTGCGATATAGGTAGTTTTTCTGAATTTCCTTTTTAAATTTTAAACATCTCTTAAAATGTATATTAAAACAAAGCTTAAAAGAAGTAAATATTAAGTAGCTAATAACAATTTATGTACAGTTATATTGTAAGTTGTAAATCACTCAATAGATATTCTTGTTGTTTGGAGATGTAATCTCTGAAAGATACCAAGTAACATTTTGCAAAACCAAAAAATTTGAAAAAAAAATCAGCGGCTGTGTTAAAGAGATACTATATGAGGCGCCTAAATCACAAGGGGTATAAGTGACATTTTTACAAAATCCTAGCTAAGTAGCTTAACTACAAATTACTCATATAAAATAGAGCCATACTATCAACCCCAGATGCATGGCTGAAATGCCATGCACCCCGGCGACCAAACTGGCATAAAGTTAGCTATAGCCACATACGCCATATGTATATTTTTATTTTTATAACTACAAATTGTCCATTTTATTTGGTGGTAAAAGATATACAAGTGAATTCTTCATCATTTGCTGTGATCTGGTAGCAAATCACGTAACCTCCAAACCAAAGCGCCTTATGGATGTAAACTTTGAAATTGATTTTCTAGAAATCAATAAAATATCACTTATACCCCTTATGTTGTAGGCGCCTCATATTATTTTTCAAAAATTGTTTTGGAGGTATTCAAAATATGTGTTATTTAATAGGTTTAAAATTAAATAAATAATGAGGAACAATGTCCTATTATGTTGGATAAATAATTAAAGGTATTGTATTGTGATAAACATAAATATAATGTAGTCGTAGCGTAAGGAGAAATATTGTGAAGTGTTCATAATTCTAAAATTGTAGACATATTCGTGCACATTGTTTGTTGATTTCATATATTTACATACATATTTATAAGTGAAAGACAAGAGATTTAATTGGTAAGTTTTAATATTGATACTGCATTGAGTAAGGAGTGAAAGGTACTGCAGCTCTAATACACCGCTAAATTTACTTCGCTACATTAAAAACTGAAATGTTCTTTATTTCCCATTATTATATGTATCATGCCATATCGAAGTAAAATACACAGCAGTACACTTAAGGTAAGTTTCTTATATTTTCTCAGTAACTAATTGGAATACATAACTATTGATTCTTGCAAACGCTAAAATGCAGTATAATATGATATTTCTATTTTATTTGAAAATAATCTACTTAAACTCCGACAGATTGTTCTTGACATAGTTGGCCTGGCTAGAGCCGCGAACGCCAACACATGATTTTTTTTTTTTGAGCCCTTTAGAGTTATAGAATCCAAGGGCATTTAGTCACCGGGCCGACCTTGGTTCTTGACAAATATCTAATTTTAGGTTTTATAAATAATCACACTAAAAACAAAATAAATTGGCATAAATTTACCAACACGTCTTTACACTGATGACGATGGTGAAGTCAGATCTTGTCAGTCGGACTTACTTTTGAAGTTTAAGCAAAAGCTTCATTTACATTTTTTTTATGTGCAATAACGAAAAATGTTTGTTGTAAAAACTAAATATTAGCAAAATTAATTATTTAGAACCTCTAGTACAATTTCAAAGATTGCTGTTACAAAAAAAAACTACAAAGTTGCCAATATTTATATTCCGAGAAAATGAATGTCGCTGTAAGTTATTATTACATCAAAATATTATAATATAATAATATTTAACCGGTCGGATAATTATTTAGGCATAGGAAGTACACGGTAAATCGCTGTTAATATTGTTATTAGGTTAACAGGAATGCGAGTACAAAAACCACGATCGTTTAAATAAAATTAAATCCAATGCCGATTAATAGCAATTATTTTAACGACTCCAGTCCACATAGTACCGCGCACAATGTGGGAGTGTGTATAATATTACCATGTCGGCGTTAAGTTTATAGAATTTCCAAAGTAAAAAAAAATAATGTATTATGCAAATGGCAGTGAAACAAAAAAGTATAAATTGCCTCGTGTAAGGAAAACAACATTAGGCGGGCTTTTGAGTGCGTGGACGCCGCCGGAAAACGGGCGCCAAAAGCGTCTAACTCCCCATTGTCTCTACCGTGTACACTAGCGCTGAGGTAATTTTCAACAAAAAAAAGCTACACTACCACAAATTTTCCATACTCAAAAACAAAAACAAAATTCGTAGGTTTGGTCATCATTGTTTTTGACATCGTCTGAAAACTACGCGCGAGCCAGAAACATCGAAAACCCGTCAACGCGCCAAGCCGGCTGGCGACGGCCGGTTTCGTGGCGAATGTTTTTATTTAATTTTCCATAAACACGTTTAAAAAATAGATTCAATGTAAAAAACTTACTGCGTGTAAATAGGTGGATGCGACGTCGAGTCCCCCTCGGTCGAGGGACGACGAAAAAGCGCGAGTTCCGAGTATAAATATATATACTGAACGCACGCCGCCGCACACACACTTTATTATTGCCGTAGGTACACGAATATCGGCACACTTTCCGAACGTTCAGCGCACGATTAATATAATTTATAATATTGTATTTAATTGTTTTTATAGTTTATAAAGCTAGTCTGCGCGGTTGACGAAACGACAACTGTGTAGAGGAGTTTGGTCATCAACTGTCGGTCCGCCGGCTGCTGACAACGGTCGCGTTTGAAATGTTTGTGTACGTGCCGTGTGTGGATGACCGCGGAAGAGCGCTGCTGGGTTCACGGTAAACGAGCGACTGCTGGCTTGAGGCGTCGGCCAAGAGACAATGATCCCGAACGGGGGCCGCCGAGCGGCAGACGGAACCGGTTTGGCGGGGCGGAGTGGCCGGGCGGCGGGTGGAGGGGGGGGGGCCGTGAACGCCGATGGAATGCTGGCCGCCTTTGCGCGGGCGCGGGCGCTTTGTTGACAATAACGATCAGCTGATCGCGCGCGACCAACAGCTGATCGTCTGGCGCCGCCGTCTGCCTCGGAGGCAGATTCCCCGCGTAAACACACAACAACAATCCCGCGGCGGCGCGCGTCCGGACGCCGTCGTGGCCGCCCGTTTGCCGCCAAAACAAACGCCGAGATAAGATAACAAACGACATGCGCACCGCCGCGTTCCGACTTCCTTCTTCTTCTTAAGAATTAATTCATTGACAAATATTTTTCATTAAACGTCTTCGATTTTGTTATCGCATTAGAACCAGCGTCCGCCGACTGGCTCCTCTAAAACAACTACGGTACGACTAGCTAGGCTGGCTCGCGAAAAATTAAGTGAAGTTTGACATGTGTACACATACTTAACGATTAATACTTAATTCAATATACCTACGCTTTGCAATTAAACGAATATATTTATAATTATTATTAATGTACCAGTTATACTTGGATACAGAGGGGAAGGGGCTAGGAAGCTGAAACCTTCCGTATTTCTTAGTACTTATAATATCAACAAATCTACTCCAAGTTCAACATTACAAATCTCGATTTTTCATTTTAAAGCTTGTATTTTTTTGAATGACTAACATTTTATTTATTTTATAAAGTATTATTTATAGAAAGTTATTAATGTTCTACTCAATCAACGCGTAATATTACTTTATTGCAAATAGTATCAGCTATCATGGAAGAAAATGGTTATCACAAATAAATTACAGCGTTGCATTCCCTCTAAAAACCTAATTTTTACATTTTTACATTTTCAACGATTTGCTTTTTATTTATTTAAAAATTGTTTTTTTATTTGATGATGTAAGGGTAACAGACCCTTTACTTTTAAGCGGAAATAATACAATTATTTATTTGAAACTGGTTTTCAACATTAAAAAAAACCAAATACTCTTTAAATGTTTTAAAAGATAATATAAAAAGTATAAAATATGTGAATTTTGAAGTCTATACGTTGGTAGAATTTAAAAATTGTATAATGAACAAAAGTACCACAGCTGTTGCAACTATAAAAAGTATGTTTTCGTTCATAAATTAATAAAAAAAAACTAACCTAAACCTAACTCGGAATAAGTTCCTTGACAGTTTGAACATACACCGACCGGGGTTTGATGCAAAACCGATCGTTTTAAAACGCTACTTTTACATTTATTGGTACGTTTTATTAAATAGACTGTTTCCTAGAACAATATACCATCACACAATATATATCAGCATACCATCACACAAAAATAACGACTTGTACTACGACTTATATATTAATCTCTTCACACAACAAACAAGGGTTACTATTCTATAGAAATCGAACGGTGGAATAATTTTTTTATATTATCTGAGAGAACCCCAATTGATTCGATAAACTATAAAGTAAAGGTCTCATATACAATGTACAGAAAAAACTTCAAATAAAATCAAACAATATTAACGATAATAATGTTGAATAATCTATAAAATAATAATACGATAAAAATTGATGAGTCGAAAAATTGACAACTTTTGGACCAATACGAATGTCACGTTTACTAAAAATTGGATTATTTTTACAAAAATTCTACATTTTTCACCCGGTTAAACAGGAGCCATGAGTAACTGTTAACAAAAAAAAAATCTGTGTAGATCGTTAGCTGATCTATAAAACCCCAACTGGGTCGTCCGACACTGTGATTTAAGTGTTCCGTTGTATAATACAAATTATGAAAAATAAATCCTCAATTATCACGGAGCATATTTGAAGTGTATAGTAATATTATGTATAAAAAAAATCCCGAAAACCAACATATTTTTTTTGTTGTAATAATGTGTTTTCTCAAATTGACTGTGCGACGGCTCATAAAATGGTAAAAAGAAACTCTAGGTAAATGTGCGGTGCGTTATCTCAATGGTCAATGGGGCGTAAACCAAAAAGGTACCCAAAATCAAAATATTCCTAGGGACGCTTTTTAATATGCACAATAGCTGCCTGGGTATTATTGGAAACGTCGGTAAGAGGACTCAGGTTAAAATGTCTTATCACAACAGCATGGCGCGTGTAACAGCTGCTCGTCAGGTACGCGTACTTGCAATTTAATTGGACCAAAAAAGATAACAAATGCACAATATTATACACTGAAATCCGATAAAAATTATCGATTTAACTTCTGGTGTGTATGTGGTATTATTAACGGCCAACAGTCATTAAATCGTTATAGGCAAAAAAGATTAAACCCACCACCGACCGAGATAGCACAAGTGTGTAAGAACGCTGTTTAATGTGACGCATACGTACAAATGATTATTATATCAAGTATAATATTATACAAATTATGTGTGATTCGCGAGCGATAACACATGCGTTTAGAGTTCAGGCAAATTCGTTCGTAATGTAAATTTATATATTTTATGCATTGCGTTTAAATCGAATGTATGTCACACACACACACATGTAATAAGCAGACAGAAAAAAACACCATCACAATATAATTGTTGTACCTAGGTATATAATACACCATACTACAGAGCACACTGTTGCTGCTGGCGGCGACAGACTATGTCAAGCATAATAATAGCAATATATATATAATGTATATTATATGTACATAAATCATGTGGCAAATTTGATTCGGATAGCGTTTTTCAAAAACCATTTTCACGGTCGTTGCCGTCTTAAAGGCGCCCGTCCTAGGGACTTTTCTCAGGCAACACCTATCGTCGTGTCTATATACATATATGTAAGTATAAATAATTTTTCTATCGGCAGTCGACACTGTTCTGTGCGTGAAAGAACCCCCGACGGGAATTTATACACGTCCGCCAAATGATCGTCGGAGGCGGCAGTCGGGAAAAAAAACACAACTACCATAAAGATCAATAAGCATCAATTTTGAACGACGATTCACCTGTTGCTCGCTGCCCAGCACAGGCGATATTTTCTTTCTTTTTCCAACACACACACACTCACACATTAGAGACCTGCGTCAAAGCCGACCAGTGTATTATATATACATATACCTAACCTACAGCTATACAAGAGTACTTAGAGGCGACGGCGGCGGCCACCAGCAGCATTCCATTTTTTTTTCCCCCAATGTTGTGGTTGGCGCCAATAGGTCTTTGTACAAAAGGGATTATTATTACAAGGCCGACGCGGTCCAGGAACCGTCTATAATATGTACATATGTATATAGGTCCTCCTCCGCCTATTGCCCCTTTGTCCTTACATATTATTATTATGCGTGCAGGACAAGAAACCAACACGCAGAACACATTACATGATGTACTTATGTGTCGTCGTCCGGTTTTTATTGGCGCGAAAACATGATTATTTTTGTTTTTCCTGTCCCTCGCCCTCTGCGCCAACAACGACAACTTTTGGGGTAAAAACCCCGCAAAAGGGGCACCAGGAGAGAGATGTAATCGTCCGCAGTAATGATAATTATTATTATCATGACTACCGACCGAAAGGATGTCCGTTCGACGGTCACCGTACCATAACACTATTCAAAAAGGGAGGGGGGAAAGGGTAGTTGTCTCGGAGACACATAAAGAATCTATAAAGGGAAACGCGGGTGGCCATTGCCGGTGACAGGTGTTGAGACTTTGACGCCGGAACGAAATGACCGTCTTAAAGCGCAACCGTAATACATAATATTAATTTCCAAAGACGATATCACGGGCGGTCTGTTCTGCTGTTAGCCCTCTACCAAATTGAATTGAAGTCACCCGACCGCGGAGGTACTTGTGTTAACAGACCACAGATAGGTTGCCTATTAAATTCAACCATTTTTAACGCCTGTCCACATTTAAGTAGCCAATATCATGTATACAAATTCGTAATCCATATCGATGTAACATACTGAAGTGATCTTATTACTTCTTTGGCGGATTCGTCTACTGTCCTATAGGAATCGGTAAGACCTCATCGGCGAAACTTGGAAGGCCAAGCAATTTATGCTTAAACATTTGGCTGTGAAATTAAAATCATACTCAATGTTTAGAGCTACTATTAAATGCCGAGTTATCTCAAGCCTTACCTAGTGGTGCAATTATCAAATTGGTTGCAAACGTCACACTTACATACGTTTTCATTCGATTTTTCCCTTCACTTTTAAATCGATATTTTTTCATTTCAAGTTTATTACAAAACACGTTTTGCTCCTTTGGCCTGTCGACGATTTTGTAAATTGCTCTCAATTAAAAGTTGTATAAAATATTCAAATTTTTAGTAAGCAAGATTGAAAAGTGGTCTTTTGCATTTAATCACTTAATTTATTTTACACATTGACCGTCACACGTTTATATGTAGTTTTTATTCGATGACTCGTTACCTGTATGATACAGGCTACTTTATAGGACCCAAGGCGTTATATAGTGAGTACTGAAACACCGTCAAGTACTCGTTTATTGAACTTGACTCGAACACAACGTCGCACAAACGGTGACCTCGCTGCGCCTGTACGTTCTGCGTCGGTGCCAAGTTTGAACGATGCTGGTAGAAAAAATTGCAAATTATGTAAAAGCGACAAAACAGTTGGACTGTACAGTTATGTATAAAAATTACATTAATACCGTAAAGCGCGTTTTCTATGCGAACGTTCGCACGGGCTAGGTGGTCAAACAAGTCGTCGCCAAAGAGCAATGGCACACAAAGTCGTTTCACACGGCACGACGACGGTTTAACAAACAAAAAAAAAAATGTTTTAAAAAGGCGCAAATTAAATTCAACATTTAATACAATACAATTTTCAATACGATCAACCCACAACACACGGTATTCTTCTCACGAGAAATTAAAAAGAATTATTATTGAATTATTATTATTATTCATTTGGACACGGTCCGAT